GGAAATCCAAGGGTAGACAGAGTCATTATAATGTGTCACAACACAACTTTAACATTTGATGCTACCTGAGGGGTGGTCGGATGTCTGAATCAGGATATCTGGATGGTCCTTCTGCATACCCTGAGGTTGGGCCAGTCTGATGTCTCACACAAGGAAGATACCTTCCTGAGAAGACAGATGCAAAGAAATTCATTCTAACCAGTGGCTTTAGCCTTGGAAGATAGAAGAGAGAAAAAATTACCTTGTTGCACCAAAAGGCCATTTTCCACAAATACAGAAGGGGTAGGGAGGAAGGGGAGAGAGTATACTAGAGGTACCTTTCAAAATGAAAATATTACAATTTAATTGAATTTGAGTTAAAGTGAAGTGAAACTGTGCAACTTGCTGAATCTCTGTAATTACTTCCTCCAAAGAGAAGAAATTAGTTTTGACAATGTATTAGGAAATACATACATTAAGGGTTTAGAGTTGTGGTGGATTTTTCTGGCATTAATGCTTTGGTTTTGAATAATAACTGTTCTAAATTCTTTACCCGGCATAGTTTGGGTCACATATGGCAAGACACGCAGACCCAGAAGTAATTGTCAGGAGAGAAGTTTATATCATGGATTCCCTAGCATAGGAGGAACAGCACCACCAGGGTTAAGAGGGAAAGGACCAGGGTCAGTCAGGAGGTAGAAGGTGGACAAGAAGTGATCTTGCTCCTTTACTGGGATTTTCATGGTAAGGGGTGGGCTAAGCAGAGTCGGTACCCTGAGCAAGCTTAGGATCAGATTGTTGGAGTCATCTTAGCGGACTCTGGAAAGGAGAGAGGTGTCTGAGTGTTGGATGCACGGTGAGGTAGGGTGAGGATGAATATTGACTTGGTGTATGAGAGATGGAGAAAGCAGATGGTTGGGAATATAAGTCCTAGACTGGCTGGACTGGCTTAGATGTCAAAGGGGCACTCAGAGGAGAGGATTCCCTGGAACTAGATAGCCTGGGAGAGGCAGTCTTTCCCAGATTAAAAAGACCTCAAAAGTGGAGCACCGGAAAGAGCAAAAAGAACAGAACATCTCATTAAGCATTTTCTTTGTCTGTGGTATCTTCCTGCTTTCCTGTCTCTGCCTGCCTAAATGTTGAATTCTTCTTTGTATGAAGTCCAGGTTATAAGATTTACATTCTACTCCACAACCAATTTTCACAGTGGTCCAGCTGTCCAGCTGTGGACTTGATTAAAAGGGTTTCACGCTTACCACTAGTTCCTTCCTCGTGGCTGACCATTCCTAAGCATTTTATTTTGATTTATGTCTTGTTTAGCTGTTGTTCATCATCGAGTGGTCTCTCTGGGAAGCACCAGAGGTGTTCTGTGTCCCCAGCTGTAGCACATTTGACAGTGCTGTCTTATTTAGCAATAAGCTGCATAGTTTAAAAAAAAAAAGTCTTGGTTAATTCCTGAGCACCGTTGTCATCCCGCCGTGTTCAGTGCTGTAGAGACGTCCAAGGCCAGCTGGTTTCCGGTGTCCCTTGGCCCTCATGGTCCCTGTAGATGTCTTTTTCTGTTAAGAATAACAGCAGTGGCATTTCTTTATAGACATGACTTAAAAACAAAACATCACATGTATAGTCAATCTCCAAGTTCATCTCCGCTCCACTGAGGACAATTTTTTTCCCATTATGTCTTTGAATAGCTTATTGAAATGGTCAGTAGGGCTCAACTTAGGACCCACCTCCTTCCATCTATCCTTTATGTTAAGTCAATCCCTCTTAACCACCATACTAACTAAAGTAAAATCATATATATTTCCTCATTTTTCAATATACTGACTAGTTCTATTTTCAATTTCTTATTCATTCTGTGCTTGGTCTTTTTGTTTCCTTAAATAGGAATTGTTTGATCTTCTTGTCGTGTTCTGGTTTTTTATTTTGATTTTTTTCCTTCAGATTCTAATTTCGCCTAGAGTTAAGCATTTACAGTATGCATTTTTGCACAGAAACGCAGTTTTGCGTTTTTCTGTGTCTCTTGCATCTCTGTGTCCATCCTGACATCTGCCTCCTGTGTGTTTCCATTCTTCCTTCCCTTCTACCTTCCGTCTTTCCTTCCTCTTTTAACCCTAGTATTTTTGTCTGGTTGCCATGTCATTGATTTTCATTTCAATTCTTTCTGATCTGGTCATTTCTACCTGGGTTTCCCCTCTCCTCTTTATATGTGTGGCAGGTTAATTTCATTCCCTGCCTCCTGCCTCTTCTCGGCTCTCTGTGCTCCTTTTCCTCGGGAGTGTAGTAGCACACTGGGTGCTCGTGTGTGCATCTGTGCTGCTCGGGTGGGCAGGAAAGAGAAGCGCAGACAAAGCTGTGAGTGGCAGCTTTTGTAGGACTGGCTTTCTGCTTCTTTGTTCAGAGTTCAAAACCTGAGTTTATTGTGCCCAATTGGGATATTTCTGCTACCACGGCTGGGGATTGGTGGGATTTAAAACCCAATTTAGGACAGAATAATAGCAAGAGTTCGAGCAGGTGTCTATTGTTCACACTTGACCCAACCCTTCCCAGGAGTCATTCGCTCTTCTGCCCGGCAAAGGGAGGGAAAGACAGACAAAATCCCTGGACTTTGGCCACTCTGCTGTTTTCTAGAAGTAGGACCTGTAGGCATGAAGTAGCTTCGTTAGGAGCTTTCCATGTCTCCTGCCACTCCCTCACTCCATGAGAAGAGCGTCAAAGGTGAGGGCACCACATTCATTTCTAGGAAATTCTTGTTTTTAGCCATTTTTTAGAGCACTGCCTTTTCCTGTATTTGAATGTTGTTGCATGTAGAGGTGGTTTTTTTTTTGTTTGTTTGTGTGTATGGATACCGAATTAGTTTCTATACCCCTTTCCATCTTCTTTCCTCCTCAACTTAAAGGCCTTCTTTAGAGGGACATCTCGAGTGTTTTTCATGTGACGTTAGAATTGATCTTTCAGTTACCCACACTTTCAGGTGCACCCTGCCTGCTTGGTTCTCCACTGTGCATGGTGGAAGTGCGTGAATACATACATAAGACCACAGGTGACAGCTTTGCCACCTGACATGGGGAACTATCAGTGAGCAACAAATGCCAGCAGAAAGCCCACGCGCTGACTGAGAGCTACAGGAACATTTTTACCCAGAATGCACTGCTGGCTGTTCTGTCCCCGAAAGATGGTCCTGTAGCCTTCATTTGAGTAACTGAAGTAATAGGGATCCTATAATACCATTTCATTATTGAAAGGAGTGAACTGTTTAAAACTTATTTAATGGGAACCTAAGTGTGCTCCTCCCCTCCCAGCTTGGTCTCCCTTGGTGATAGGAATCCCAGCCTTAACCCCATATAGGTGATTGCTACAACTCTGCCTTCAGTCCTGATCTCTAGCCTGACCTGCAATTCTGAAAAATGGACAAGCAAGTTTGGAACACTGCTAGGCCTGGGAACAGGAAAAAACAGGAGTAGATTGCTGCCTGTAAACCCAGAACGCTCACTGTACAGGATAGGGATCTTGAACTGGCACAGATGAAAGAGACCCGAGGCTTTGACTTCACTCTGAACGTGCTGTGGGTACACAGTAGATCGCAGCCAGTCTGTCTTGTGTGGATGTGAAGGTTAATGCCAAGGGTGTTGGCCATTGTCCTGTGTTGACCTTGCTGGAGAACATCCGGGTCTCTCAGACAGCAACACAGCAGAGGTATAGACAAAGGATGGTGCCTGGAGACCATGCATATGGGATTCCCTAGAGAGCGACGGGGAAATAGGGGACAGATCCAGGAAAGGGCTGGTTTGCTGAGGTACAAGAGCTGTTCAAGCAGAAGAGAGATTTATGGTTTGCTTTCTCTGTTTCCCGGATACAATCCTGCATCATTTCAGAAGGCAGCAAAGGCTGTTTGTTGACTCTGTTGACTAGCAGACATCCGTAGTTTTCATATCTGTGACAGGGCTGATGACCTTATCCTTATCCTGGAAAATACCCGCTTCTGTTACTATCTAGTGGCAAAGCAGATATTGAACTTCTAGGTAGGAGCTAGATGATAGTGCTTTTGAAATTATTCGGGAAAAAAATTATCAGTCAAGATATCCCCTGAAGAGCCTGTCAAATAGAGAGGTTTTTCCCAAACACCATAACCAAAGAGCCAACCAGTTGCCAGAAACCAACACTAAACACTAACTACAATCCTACTTGTCACAGTGGAGAGTTATGGGAAGAAGCAACTGGGGACAGGTAGACGTTGGTTTGCAGTCAGGCTGTGCTGTTCACTAGGCCTGTAATCTCCGACAAGTTACCAACTATATTGAGCCTGATATTATCCACCTGTAAGAAGGGATGACTGACGTGCCACAGGACATGTGCTCAACTATGTTCATAGCAGCATTGTTCGTCATAGCCAGAACCTGGAAACAACCTAAATGCCCCTCGACTGAAGAATGGATAAGGAAAATGTGCTACATTTACACAATGGAGTGCTACACAGCAGAAAAAAATAATGACATCTTGAAATTTGCAGGCAAATGGATGGAGCTAGAAAACATTATATTGAGTGAGACAGTCCAGACCCAGAAAGACAAATATCTCATGTACTCACTCATAAGTGATTTTTAGACATAAAGCAAAGAAAACCAGCCTACAAATCACAATCCCAGAGAACCTAGACAACAATGAGAACCCTAAGAGAGACATACATGGATCTAATCTATATGGGAATTAGAAAAAGACAAGATCTCCTGGGTAAATTGGGAGCATGGGGACCAGGGGAGAGGGCTGAAGGGAGAGGGGAGGCAGGGAGGGGAACAGAGAAAAGTGTAGAGCTCAATAAAAAAAAAAAGAAGGGATGATTGAGAAGCAGCTCTTCGGGTCACTGTGAGGGTAAAGCAAGATAGAAGACAATTATAAGGGCTCTAGCAGACAGCGAAGTGCTTACATGGCAGCTGCCAGTCTTCCTGGGCCCTGAAGCCAGCTGCCAGTAGCACTAGCTTGATTTCAACAGGCATCCTAAAGGAAGCACTTTCATTTTCCAGGGGTCTCTTCTGAACTCGCCCCAGCAGCTGAGGAAGAAGAGTCGAAGAGCGGTCTGGACGTGATGCCCAGCATTTCTGACATACTGCTACGCAAACTGAGGGTGCACAAGACGCTCACCGGAAGGTAAAACCACAACCTCAGCTTTTGAAAACCTTTCAGGGGCACCCATGTTAAAGCCTGGGTGGAACACAAAGGAGCATCAATCTTGGTTCTTATCTCAGAAGGGATCCAGTCCAGTGGTCCAGGCAGGGCTGATACAACCAAACACCAAGTACGAGCATGGGCTGGGTTGGCATTTCCAACTCCAAGAGTATATGGAATTCACAGACAAGAACCTTTGAGGATGTAAGGGTCACCAGAGCTGTGAGTGGTGGGCTTTGGGGCAGGGGACACACGGTTCAATCCAGATAAACCATTTACGTGTGGGACGTACTATGTATAGAGAGATGTACAACGTTCAAAGTCACACAAAGAACTAAGTAGAAAGCCCCAGACGTCTTCCTGAGTCTTAGCTTCATCGCCCTCGCAGGAATCGTAGTGTTCTGCCGCTAGCAGGGTGCGCTAAGTGAGGCCATCTGTGGGCAGGGACTTGGGACAGTGTCAGCACGGGACACATCCTTGAGACCTGGATTGGAAAGTACGGCGTAGGGATTTGAGATAAGGAAGTTGCTAGGAAGATCATCAGACGGGGCAATAGAAAGAATGGCACAAGAGCAAGGCACTGGGGAGAGCCAAGGAAGACCTTTATGATAGAATAGAAGGGAATCCAGGACACAAGAAGAGGCCACGCTTGCAGAGACTTGGTGAATAACCTTCAGAAAAAAAGGAGCAGTTTTAAGAAGTGGCGGTGAGACAGCTGGTAAATCACATGCCAAAGAGTGAAGCTACCGTAATCCACAAACGCCCAGCTCAAAATGGACCGCAGACCTAAATGTTAAGGATAATACTGTGGAAAGCTTAGGAACTGCAAGAAGCAAGGCTCAGGAGCTATGAGCTTAGGCTAGCCCATGACTTTAGATAAGACAGGAAAAGCACAAGCAGAAGATTTAAAAAGAATAGGTGAACAGTACGTCACAATAATAATAATAATAATAATAATAATATTATTATTATTATTATTATTATTATTATTATTAAAAGCCTGTGCTGTCGATGCTGTCTAGAAGGTGAAAGACAGCACACAGAATGGGAAAAAAATTACCTGGCAAAGTACATGTTTATACACTCTATCAAGAATTCTTGTAATCCAATTAAATTTAGATAAAGAGTGTCCCAAAATGGGCAAAGGCTTGAAACAGGCATATCAAGGAGGGTACATAGGGCTACCTGAGAAGACACTCCATTGCTCCATTGGTCCATTGGTCCACCTCCTCGCTGCCTATGCAAGTCTTGAGCTGTGCCGTGTGACCACTTGGCCTACATCGCACCACCCTGTTCCTTACCGTATATATGTTGATGTGTTCTGTAGCCCAAGGCAGACCGTGCCACCAAAATAGAAAACCAAGCTTGCTGAATTAATTATGGAAAGATGTAAATTTCATGTAATACCCGAGTGAACCCAGCTGTCAGAAGCACGCTGAGCTCTTTGGTAACCCCCCAGACAGTTTCTGCCTGCTTTACACAACAGCAAGAGAGCGTGTTGACCCTCGGAGGACAGGGCCTGTGGGGTGGGGCTGTGACAAACGCCGCAAGCATCAGACATCTTTGCTGTTGTTTGTCCCCATGCTCTGTTTCCTGGCAGCTTGATGACCACAGGGTCTTGCTGTCTCATCCTGACAGGAAGGCTCTCAATGTCCCATGTCAAAGGTGAGGACCAGCCCTTTGCAGAGATGGCTGGTCCCTACCCTTACTCTCGGGGTCCCTCCGTACCCATCCAAGGGAGGAAAGCTGTGTTTCCTGAGAAGTTTATTGATGGCCTGCTTGCTCGCCAAGTCCTCTGAGGCGAGTTGGACCCCTCCTGGTCTCCCCGCCCAGCACAGGAAAGCGCCTGTGTGGTATTTACGTTATCGGGGCTTCCAATGGGGCCAGCTTTAGTTGCTAAACATTACACTGGAAGCCACATGGAGTGGGTGTACAGATAAGGAGTCTGCTGACAGGGGCAGGCTGTGGAAACTGTGCAGGAACCTCTAGGGCTGCCTCTATGGCAGCTGGTATCCACTTACACCCTGATCCCAAGCTTTGGCGGTCTTGCTGAATCAGCTCTTCCAACCCTTTTCTTGTCTTGTAGTTCTGAACCAAATAGTTGTTTGTCACACTTCTCAGAGTCTAGGAAGGAAGGAGCAGTCTTTGCAGAGGTAGAAATCCCTCAAAAGCTACAGTTCACCCCACAGACACATAGTTAGTCAGTGAAAAATGCATGTGTATGTTCTGATTCCTCACAGCCTGCGGGTGAACAGTAATAATAGCTAAGATGTCGTATATGGCTAATCTGAAGTGGGCATTGGTTCCAGGACGCACACGTACACGCACAACACAGAAACCAAACTCCAAATGCACAAGACCTTGTATAAAATGGCACAGTACTTACATATAGTCTATACAACCCTCCCATACTTTAAATGACCTCTACATGTTTTATGATAACCAATACAGTATAAGTTCTATATAAATAGATGCTTTTCTGTGTTGCTTAAAGAATATGGCCTAAAGAAGTCTGAGTAAATTCGCTATAAACACAATTTTTTTTCAAAGTTTTTAATATGTATTGTTGGTTGGTTCCAAGAGTATGGAACTGGTATATGTGAAATACTGCACTGTATACACACACACATGCTACATACATGATCATGCGCACATACGTGTGTATGTGCAAACATAGAGGTTGTTATTCTGATTTAACATATGAGCAAGCTGGGATGTAGAAGGTTCATAGTGGTTGTCCTGGAGGGCTGACCCCAGCATCTAATGTTTTCCATACTACCTCTGTGAAGGTCAGTGTCTCACAGATGACAGGAGACGAAGAGAATTCTGCATCCTCTTCCTCCCACAAGCTCTGCTCGCTCCTCTTCTGGTGTGCATGGCTTGCTGGTCATTCAGTCTCCTTTTGCGTCATTGAATAGGTTGGATAAGGTTCACTTGTGCATTTTTTTCTTCTTCACAGTGCCCCTCCACTCACTGAGAAGGAAGTTGAGGTAAGTGACTCAAGGACCCTGGGAAATGTAGTAACTCTTTGACAGGTTTACCCAAACCTCCCTTCCTCCAGGGGGTGACCCTGACATTTTTACACAAGAGTGAGAACAAGTGACTGTGGAACATTCTGGATATTTGTTCCCAGCCCACTGCTGAGTTTCCTGTGCCTGCCTCCATTCATGGAGGATTTTGACATGTCTTGTTGGAGGTGAGAAGGTTGCTGGTGCCTCCACCTTCAAAGACTGTCGAGGTGCCATGATGGCAAACTCATCCAGGAAACTACACCAGATTTATTTCAATTTTTAAAAAATGTAGCCAGATTTCCAACTCCAGACTGAATAAATTTTTTTGAGTGATAAAACAACTCACTCAAGGTCTCAGACTCAGGATTTACCAAGATCAAGAGCTGGAAACAAATATTCCAACTGACTTCAGGACACTTTGAGTCAGGCATAGCTAAGCATTGAGACTTGGTCACATATTGAGGCTGGATATTAGAGAATTCCCGTCACCGGGCTGTGAGTCAGAGTCCCCTCAAGCATCTGTACAGACTGACCATGGCAGGTCTTTAATGTCAGATCTTGTCCTCAGATACGCTCTAGCATAGCCATCAGCAAGCTGGAAATAAGACAGACTAGGGAATCAGAGCATCGAAGGCCAAGACCTTGCTCTGCTGCTTCTTCTGTCAAACTGAACAAGTTAACGATGTCTCTAGTCTTGGTCTCTTTGCCTGTAAAATGGGTGTAGGAGTCCTAACTCCAGAGAGATGTTGTGGGGTTAAATGCAGCAATCACAAAATTCACAACAATGTGATGATCAGTAAGGGCTCATTTCCGGCAGAACCACCATCATCATCTAGAGATCAGTTTTTGTCCGGAAATAACTGCCATTGGCCGTGTTACATGAATTTCAGAAGCCAGACAGAGTCAGTGACCACAAAGTATGAGCAGGTGGGGTGGCTTAGTGAGTGGAAGTGTATGCTGTGCGAGTCTGCCAACCTCATGACCCATGGTACCAGAAAGAACCAAGTCCCTGACCTCTCTTGTATGCTGTTACAAACACACACACACACACAACACACACACACAACACAGACAAAGATACAAACACACACACCACAGACAAACACACACACACACACACACACACCCCACAGACAAAGATACAGACACACACACACACACCATAGACAAAGACACCACAGGCAGGGCAGATGAAGCAATTGGAACTGAAGCCCCTCCTTCACTCCCTTCTTATTTCTTGTGTGGAGTCCGTCTATTTTTCCTCCCCAGTAGTGATGTGTTATGGCGAGAGCAGTATTAATAGGATGAGCCTAGTTCTTGGTAGCTCCCTTTCCCCTAGGAATTCCACATCTGAGCAATGCCACCTTTGAAAACTTCATTCTTTGAGGCTGGAGATGGCTCAGTGGTTAAGAGCACCGGCTCCAGAAGACCTGGGCTTAATACCCAGTACCCACATGGTAGTTTACAGTCATCTGTAACTCCATTTCCAGGAGCTCCAACACCCTCTTCTGGCTGCCAAACACCACACTCACTTGGTGTGCAGACATGTGCACAGGCAACACACCCATGCACACAGAATGTTTTAAAACTTAAAAAAAAATTGTTCCTATGAGGTATGTTTCATCTTGGGCTGGAATATTTATTCCTGGAAGTTTATCTTAACAGATCCATACCTGACCTTGTCTAATCTGGAAGTTACTTAAAGCTGACATAGGCTTAGAAATAACAAGGCTAGAGACTATTTGAAATTTGCTTTAAATGCACAAACCTGAAGCTCACCTGCACTTCTTTAGATACATTCAAATCTCCCAACCTCCCCCCTTCCACCCGTTTGCCTCACAATAGATCCCAGTATTAATCCAGACTGCTTCCATGGCTGGCTGCACTGGTCTATGCCCATCTCAACCCAAACCCAGGCGCTCATGCTCTTGATTTGGGGAAAAGTAGGCTGCTATTGTCTGATGGTTATACTTGTGTTCTGGACCTCAAGGGTTGTCTTTTGTGCCTTTGTGTGTGTTCACTGTGAAGGGGGGTGGGTTTGTCTGCATGTGGAGGCCTTGGGCTAGTTCCAAAGACCCTGGTAGAGGGCTTGAGCAAGAATCCCACCGTGGCCTTGCTGGCTGCAGTGACTCCTCCCAGCACCTCTACCACACTCTTGTTCCCAACAGAACGTGTTTGTACAACTGTCCTTGGCCTTTAGAAATGACAGCTACACCTTGGAGTCTAGAATTAACCAGGCGGAAAGGGAACGCAACCTGACTGAAGAGAACACCGAGAAGGAGCTGGAGAACTTCAAGGCTTCCATTACGGTAATTGAGGGCCCAGCTTAAGGAGTCCTTACAGAGCCATGGCCTCTAAGGGTGAGGCCCAGTATCACACTTCTTTTACTAACCAAGTGGTCTCTGGAAATGAGAAGAGAACCAAGGCCCTGACAATCTTCCTCAAAGGACAGGGAGGAGCTGAGGCAGAGATCCTGAAGGTTTGGCCTCAAACCCCTGGCAGCTCCTTAGGAGGGGGCTGGTTTGGCTTGGCTATGACTCCTTTCAGGCCAGCCAGCCAGATGTAATGTGTCTCTACTGGGCTTCTCCAATATCTGGAAGACACTGTGGCTTGGGTTTTGTAGGAGTTTCTTCTCCTGGCCAGGATGAGACCCAGGTCTTGTCTCATGAAAATGAATCCAGGTTTGGCATGGGTCATCTTGTCAGCTTAAACCACTCCAATAAATTACCATTGGCTGGGTGATTTAAGCAATAAACATGCTGTTTCTCTTAGCTCTGGATGCTAGAAGTCCAAGCTCAGGGTTCCAGCATGGTCAGGTCCTTCCTGAGGTCCTCTTCAGACTTGCAGACCACCAGCCCCTCATTCTAGCCCAACATGGTGGAAAGAGAATAAGAGAAATTTCCAGGGCCCCTGACGTATAAGCACTACTCCTGCTTACAAGCGCTGCACTGGGGTGATCTAGTCAACTCCCAAGGGCCCATTCTCCCACCTGCACATTGGGGTTATGTTCTCAGCTTGCACAGGTGGGAAAACAGTTTGAAATCTCAGGGTGATGCCCTTTTCATCCCTCAGTCCTCATCCTCCATCTGGTACCACTGTGAGCACCGAGAGACCTATCAGAAGCTTCTGGAAGACATCGCGGTCTTGCATCGTCTGGCTGCTCGCCTCTCCAGCCGGGCCGAAGTGGTGGGGGCTGTGCGCCAGGTGAGCCCCCACGGCACTAAGCCTTGCTGGCTGGCACTGTTCCAGCTTCAGTAATTAGCACCATGACACAAACAGGGGCAAGAAGTGGTACCACCCCTTGATGACTGGCATTCTCTGTAGGTTGTTGAGACAGTCCAACATACTTGGTGCCTATTAAACTTTGAAGTATTCCTTGAGGAACTGTTTTCTGTGGACTTTGAAATCTGAGGTAGACTGTGTACTGCCTTCCTCCCTTAGAGCTGGTCCACCATAGCTGAGCTAGAGAATTCCCTATGATAGACATTTAATTAGCTTTCCCGGTGTGTTTTATACGTATATGTGACTGGGGAGCCCCTCTCTCTCATTGTTCTTACAAAATACATACTCAGCTCCTACAGAAGCAGTGTTGGGCAGAGCGTGCTTCAGGTAAACCTGCTGTTTTTATTTAACCCACCCGGTAACCCTGTAAAGTGGGCCTCCACCTCCCAACTCTATCCCCAGTGAAGTTGCATGTTCTCAGAAAGATAACTTCCAGAGAGAGGAAAATCCCAAAAATTCCAAACATTTTGAGTGCCTCCATCACATTACAAGTGGAAAACAACTAATTTTCTGCGACAAGACGCAGCCAAAATGCACTAAAAATGTGCACAATTCTCTCTGGGCAACATGTATAATAAGATGAAGAATGTGTTTAGACTTTGAGTCCTATTCCCAAGAGACTTCATCGTGTATATGCTCTATTTCCAGACCTGTCAAAACCCCAGACACTCTCAGTAAGTCAGGGATACTGAAGTCATTCTAGCATCAGTGAGTGGTGGGCAGAGCTGGCGCAGGCCAGATTAGACTCCACACCTGGGCCACGCCGAAGCTATGAAGTACATGGAACCTCCACACAGTGTTGCAGTGCCTGAGTTTCTGTCCAGCCTCCACCCCTCATTCACACCATGGCGGGAGCTCATCACACTCACACTTGAGAGTCACTTGGGGCTGCAAAGCAAGGGTGCTTATGACGGCTGCCATGTATGACTGACTTGATGCATGGAAAGCATTGATCCATGAGACACCGTTGTAGCCATGTCCTGCCACACTGCTTGTGTGAGTAGATGCTCTGAGGGTGCGTCCCTAAGCACCGCCTGGGAAATGAAAGGAAGCCAGGTCACCAGGCTGACCCACCCTTGTGTGTTTCCGGAGAGAGAGCTCCTGACTCAGCACTGTGGCCTAGGAAGTAGGTCCAGCTGGGAGCAACACCAGAAGAACGCTAGGGAAGGGCCAGGTCTCCATCCCACATGGCTGTGGGGACCTTTATAGGGAAACCCCTCTAGTATAGACAGCGCCTAAGCTGGGTCCTCTTGGGGACTCTGGGGTGTGGGGGAAAAGACACTTTCACTGTATGTAACCCTTCCAAATATATTTCCATGTTATCGCCTCTCTTTTCACTCTTCTTTATTTTTACTTAATTATTTTTAAATTTTCATTGTTATATGTGTATGGATATTTTTCCTGTATGTGTATCTGTGCACCACATGTATGTCTGGTGCCAGCAAAAGCCAGAAGAAGGCACTGAAACCCCTGGGGACCTCTGTCTATAACTGGAGTTACAGACAGTTATGAACTACATTGTGGGTGCTGGGAATTGAACCTGTGTCCTCTAGAAGAGCAGTCAGTGCTCTTAACCACTGAGCCATTTCTCCAGCCCCCACTTATTTATTTTTGAGGTGGGATTTCAGTAGATTGTCTAAGGTAGCCTCAAACTCATGACCCTCTTGTCTCAACTACCTGAGAACTAAGGTACAGACATGCACCACCGGTATCCTTCTTAAAGTGGTCTCCATCCCGCCTTGTGGTCTCCGTCCCGCCTTGTGGTCCCTGTCCCGCCTTGTGGTCCCCGTCCTGCCTTGTGGTCCCCGTCCTGCCTTGTGGTCCCTGTCCTGCCTTGTGGTCCCCGTCCTGCCTTGTGGTCTCCACCCCGCCCTGTGGTTCCCCGTTCTGTCTTGTAATCCCATCCTGCCTTCTGTGTCTCAGGGCTCAGTTCCCTCACTGGCTCCTTTGGAGCAGCTCCGACGCTTGTCCCTGTTGCTGTCACTGCTACCAGTCCCATTACTTCTGTCCTGTCTCCATCATACTTGGTCACCCTCGCTTGAGCACTGCCGGTAATCCCTCTTTCTCTGTAGAGTAAGTCAAGATCCCTTCATCTAGCATCTGAAGTCCTTCATGACCCAGCCCTGGAGCACTTCCTCCCAGCAAACCCCAGAGCGTCTTGATTTTTGATATGAAGCGGGCTGTTTGTGCTATGCTGTCTTGCAGAAGCCCTGGGAGAGACCCAGTGTCCCACTGTGATATGGGACGGTGCCCACTTTCATCCTAAACAATTCCTGTCTAGAGAGTAAATCTTCTTCATACAAGTCCCATGAGGAGCTGGCTCTGCCTCCAGATGCCTGCAGTTCCCTGGCCTCGGGCCTTTGTCTGTCCTTCCATGTCCATGCGCCCACGCCCCACATCTGTGACTGCAGACCATCTCCACGAAGCTGTCTCCACCTCTTCTTTCCTAGAGTAAAGCAATCCCTTCCTCCTCTCACTATACAGTGTGTGGCTGCCTGTCTGTTTCTGTCTGAGAGTCCACGTCTCAGCCCCATGTCACAGGCGACAAACTCGCGGGACAGATTCCCATCTGATGGTCCCTGTAGCCCTTGTGTTCTGGCAGTCCAGGGCTGGGCTCAGAGCGGTCACGTGTGGACGGTGCCCTTTCCTCAGCTGTCCATCATGCACCTGTGTCCTCCTTCCTGCAGGAAAAGCGCATGTCAAAGGCGACGGAAGTGATGATGCAGTATGTGGAGAATCTGAAGAGAACGTACGAGAAGGACCACGCCGAGCTCATGGAATTTAAGAAACTCGCAAATCAGAATTCAAGCCGCAGCTGTGGTCCCTCTGGTAAGGAACTGGGCTTCTGTCCCTGTTGTGAGGCCAGGACCCCAATAGTTTTCAGCCCAGGCCACAGGGATCAGGACAGCTTCAGGGCCTGTTTCTACTGGAGGACCCTGCACCTCTGTTCAGAGCTACTCATGGGGCCTTCACAGCAGCTGCTCCAGTGAGGCTGAGGTCCTAGAATCAGAAAGCATCAAGGATACCCAGGACCTCCCAACTCCTAACAGTTAACCAGAGTGGCCGATACCACGCCCACTTTGTGAGTGACCCCAGGCCCCGTACGTCTTGGTGCTTTGGGATCACCCTTTGGACATCACGTGCTAGGAAATCTGGACTTTACTCTGGAAAGCATTAGGGATCCAAGGATTTCCATCAGGAAAATGGATAAACACGTTTCTGGCTGAGGCGGCACCCTCTAAGTGTGGAACATCAGTTACATAACCGGAGCAAATCCGTGTTCCCAGTCCAGACTGGCCTCAAACGCGCGCGGCTGCTTATCTCTTCGTGTCCAGCAGAAATGTTTAAGCATTTCTGCCAAAGGATATTTAAGCTTTTCAGTCACTCAAAAGAGCAGAGCCTGAACATATTCTGTATTTGTGAGGATATTACAGCAGTCCAGGGGAGGGGTGGAGTCCAGGCAGTGGGACACAATGAGAGCCTAGCTAAGTGAGCTACTGCAGAGACAGACAGCAGATGCATGGGTCAGACATATAAGTCAATGATTCTTCGTGTTTTTAAAGTTCTCTACAAGACGACAGAGAAAGACCCACCTGTTTCTGCTCAAGGGAGTCAAGGATGGATGTATCCAGAGAGGTCACCTCTGCAGGGTTTTAAAGTAAAAATCGGAGCAGGAAGTCAGCAAACAGGTGGAGGAAGTGGTGTGTGAGAAGGTGTCAAGGTGGGGGATGGGAACAGGGCGAAGCAACCCATGTGACAAACTTGCAGTGCTGGGGTCACGTTGAGAGGCTGAACATAAGACCTGTCAGACCAAGGCCACCTTCCAGGACACACTGGCAGATAGGCCATGGTCCTGTAGGAGCAAGGAGTCAGTGGAGAGAGGTCATACGACAGGTCCACATTTTATTCTTGTGCTACTCTGACTTCAGGAAGCACAGTGCGTGAGTGGTGTCAAAGCTGAAGCAAGGAAAGCTGAGCTCAGAGGATTTTGCTCAGTCTAGCAGGGAAATGACAGTGCCTTGGACCAGAATCTCTCCCTGGGTGCTGCCAGGGCTTCAAGTCTGGTCCAAGAGGGTGACTAGCTAGAGAAAATAGCTTGTCACATCAAGAATCCCTGAGGAATGCAAACATCCGTGTTACCAAGAGCAGGAGGAGGGAAAGTATAACAGACGGAGAAACCTTTATAAACAGGAGGTTTCACAAGCTTCCTGGGGAGTATCAACGACACTTCCCAGAGTCCAAAGGCCATGCACACATACTCAGGGCTGTCTGCTTTGGATCTCAGCAGTCAGGTTCCTGACCCGCAGGCATCTGGGCCCTGAAATAACTGCTCTTGGCTACACATGGGGAAGGTGATTCCAAGGAAATCCTAGTGTGTTGGTTGGTAATTATTTCTCTACAAGGTTCAGGTCTCATGCACACCAATGTATGTAGGATTTATGGGTAAAGTCAATGTCATCACAGTGGATGCTTATAATGCCAGCACCTGGGAAGTAAAGGCAGGATTATGGTGAGTTTAAGGCTAGCATGAACTATAGAACAAGAACCTGTCTAAAACAAAACCTGAAATACTCATGGGGTAATGAGTTACCTAACGGTCTCATTCATTCATTCTAGGATGGTTTTTGAGTACTTTTGGTATGCCCCAGATGACACAGCCCCAGTCCCAGTGCTGCAACAAAAGCAGCAGACTTCTTGGGCTGGGGCGATGGCTCAGTGGGTAAAGTGTTTGCTGTGCAAGCTTGAGGACCTGAGTTCAAATCCCAGCATCTCATGTGAAAAGGCTGGATGCAGCCACACTGATCTGTAGCCCTGTGCTGGGCAGGAGAGGACGAGTGGGTTCCCGAAGTTGCTGACTAGCTAGCCTAGCAAGCCAGTGAGCTCCAGGCTCAGCGAGAAGCCCCATCTCACAAAATAAGGTGAAGATCAATAAACGAGGATGCTCTGACTTCCGTGGGCACATAGAAATCATCTCACGTACACTCATAGTTTTCATTCACAGTTGAATGCTTTTCCATACATTTGTTAGGTATTTATACTTCTATTTTGTAAATTCTCTGATTATCCCACCTGCGAGATTAGAATTTTATTGATATATTTAAACTCTCACTTATTAGAGTGGTTCTGCTCTTTGGAGTGACCAGAAAACTTAAAAATCCTTTAACCGAAATGCTTACAACTTCCTGCTGGACAAAATAAAATAAGTTGTCTAAAAGAACAGCTGAACCCACAAGAAATGAAATGGAAATAGCCAGAAACAAGAAGAGAACTGAAACCACGCTGACCCTGCGACTTGCTGGGGCCAGAGCCACCCTGCTTATCTGGAGCTGTTTGCCTCCTGTGCCTTATGTGGAAAGCAAAGCCCTTCTAGGGACTGCCTTGAGATAGACTCTATACAAGGAATGAGAGCTCTCATCCACCAGCCAGCAGAGAGGCAAATCCGGAAGCTTGCCTGTTCCACCCCGAGCCCTGGGTGGAAACAAAATCTTCTCTCCTTCCTCCTAGGAAGTACATGGGTGGCAGCGGCAGTGGGGCAATCTGTGGAGATTCTGAAAGAACAGCAGGATGGTGCCTCCAGGAATACGGTCAGCCCCCACAGAGAGGCACACCCTGCACCAGGACACCCAGACTCCTTAGGGCTGGGTGAAGACAAGCCACAGAGTAAAATACACAGTGGAACGGCCCACTGGGAACACAAATCATTAGCCCCACCAAATGGAAGCTTACACCCCGAGAACATCATCTAGTAATCAGAATTTTAAAATCAGCAGAGACATGAAAAGGCAGTGAAAACAGAAGATCAAAGAAAAGTTATAAAAAATGTAGAACTCATCAAAATGAGAAATCAGGCATGTGGGAGACTTGGTAGGTATGGGGGGTGGTACCCACGGTAGAGAGGGTTTCTCGGTATTCTGAGCTCATCCCCTGTCTTATTTTCCATACCCTAGAAGATAGACCAAGCTTTGTAGGAGTCTTCTTGGGCAAACCATGTCCCCTCTGGCCTGAACCCCAAAAGAACTAGTGTGCACGTGGCTCTGGTGTTTTTCCTCCTGGCTGATGACTACCAGTCTCCCAGACTGCTCATCTTGACTGGGACATTTGAGATAGTTATCCAAAATGCAGTTGAAAGAGACACAGTGGTTAAAATATATATTTAAAAAAGGTTTTTGGGACATAGGTCATGGAGAAGAGTCTGCAGTCCATTTGCCAGGTGGTCCCACAGGGGAAACTAGGCACAGAAAACCTTGAGAGAAATAGCCTAGCATCTTCCACAGCTAAGGAAAGACACGAATCACTGGAGTCAGTGGAATAGTGAAGTCTATGGGGAAAAATAAATGCACATGAAATGGAAATGTCAAAACAGAGAAAAATAAGGATTGCAGAGCTGGCTCAGTGAGTAAAGCCCTGGCTGGGCACACATGGGGACCCGAGTTCGGATCCCCAACACCCACAGAAAACTCGAGAATGGTGGTGCGCACCTGTCATTCAGCACTGAGGAACTGGAGAAAGGCAAATCCCAGGACCTCTCTGGCCAGGAAGTCCAGCTGAAACAGCAAGATCCAGCTTCAGTGAGAAATCTCACCTTTCAAAAGTAAGGCTGACAGGGAAAGAAAAAGACATCCAATGTTGACCCCTGGCACATATGAGCATACATGTAGGGTACGTGTGTGCATCCCCCATCTCTCATACACATATAGAAAAGAAAAAGATAAGTAAAGATCTTAAAAGTAATGAGAAGAAAATGTGCAAGTAGACGGTAACTCTCAAGAGCAACCACTGCACTAGAAGGCAAAGTGCTCTGACCCCTGAAGAACTAAGGAGGAATAAATGGGTGGCGTGCAAGGCTGAGGGCTAGGGAAGGCGAGAATAAGAAAGTGGTCCTTTCATAGGTCCCTCTGAAAGGGCAATTAAAGAATGTACTGGGGTGAGGGTGGAGTGGAGCGCCAATCAGTAGGATGCAGGAAAGGATGATGATCAAGGCTGTGTATGAGCATACGGATGGAGCCAAATGAGCATCTGGTAATAGCTAATGGGATGAATAATGCATAACTTGGGGGTACACAAGGTGACCCCAAAATGATGAGGGCTGGAGAGAGTTATTGTTCTGAGCTCTATTTAGGAACAGCCTGGAGATCTTGATTAATTTTAAATTTAAAGCCAAATAATATCAGAAGTTAAAGTCGTGTCCCAAAGATTAGGACTAGAATGGGTAATTTCTCAATTGATGTTAAGAATGGAAAAAATAGAAAAAAATCAAGGACTAAATCAAGGTAAATAAAATATGGATAATAAGATGATAGAGGTAATCACAAGAATTATAGACAGTTTAAAGCTGATAGTTGATAAGATCCTCAAATTAAGGGGAAAAAACAAAGCATACAGCTATGTGGTTTTCAAGGGTCATAGATAAAATATGGTGTTCTAGAGGACAGACAGACATACAGACTACAAGATGCTGGCAAGGCCAAATCAAACTCAACTGGCTTGGAAGATACCTTTCTGATAATTTTTGGACAAATCATACTTGGAAATATATTCAAAAGGACAAGATTCACACTTTTGGAAACTAAAAATATTTTTCATGTATCCAATTATTTTCTGGCTGCACTCTTATGCAGGTACAGTGCTGAATACTGAGTATGAATTGTATCATTTAATATACACAGTAAGGAGAGAAAGGTCTTGTGTGATAGCTCCCTTTGCACTTAGTCATAGTGTGGGTAACACACTGAAACTACTTCGGCTAGCAAACTTTTATTCTGAACACCAAATCTTTCTTGTTTATAGTGTTTCCAACTGTCTGTCCTTTGAGTGAACATGGAATGAGCCTATGTGCTGAGTCCTGTTCACACACTATCTTGGATGGCTCCAGAGCCTACAGTGATGTCAAATGAAGCCCAGAAATTCCCAACTGGGACTTCCTGTAGTGTCTAGTAGAGTTAGAATAAACCGCCTGTTGCAGGTGACTTTCTGCGAGGAGAAAGCATCAGACAATGAAGGATCCCTGATGTTCAGAACTCTGAGTCATCCCTGCAGAGCCAGCTATGATGCATGGATAGTTTGGTGTAATTTCTGTCTGTCTGTGGCCTTTTGGACCCCAACCTGAAACTCACACCCATTTTCTTCTGTTCTCTCCTACTATAGAAGATGGGGTCCCACGCACGGCGCGATCTATGTCCCTCACGATGGGCAAGGTATGCACGGCCAAGGAATTCCCGGGCTCCCAGGAGAAGCATGACAGAAGTTTTCATGGTCTCTCAAGTGTTCGTTCAGTCTTGGACCCATGGGGACCAGCAGAGTATTTAGCTTTCACACTTGCTCATGTGGCCCCTGATACCCCTTATTCCTTCCTCAGGTATAATCTTCCCAGCTCTGCAGTAAGAGACCCTGAAATGATGCCTCCACCATGGCTTCGCCATGGGCATCTTTTACACACAGTCTAGGATGCTACCCAGAGAATAGGGTCTCAAGACATAAAGTGGAGATGTGTTGAGAGATCACTCATGACCAACAGAAAATTTGGGTCAACTTTGGTTCACTCTTTCCATCTTGATTCCTAACACAATCATCACCCCCAAACCAAGCTAACTACTGAATGGTAGAGGCTAGCAAGCTTTTCCAATACCCTCAGAACTATGACTGTTGTTATTCCCAAGACAGGAGGCCTGAATCGCTTCTCTTCCCATAGAACATGCCTCGCCGGAGGGTCAGTGTTGCCGTGGTTCCCAAGTTTAATGCCCTGAACCTTCCTGGCCAAGCTCCCAGCTCATCACCCATCCCCTCCCTACCAGCTCTGGTGAGTATAATGTCACCTGCCTTCTGTCATTTTCTACATTTTTCTCACACCACTGCTACAGAGAGGATGCAGATGGGGACAGGGTCAACAGGGACAGGAAATTTCCAGCATAGACTATGGATGGAGGTACACAAAGCAACCCAGCGTAAACCTTGCCACTGTCCTGAGACTCGTAAGCTGAGCACAGAGGACTCAGGAGGTATACTTCAAAACAGCCACCCATTTGAGCAGAAACATAATTCTTTAAGGAGGGGGTGCTTAAAGAAACCAGCAAAAAACTTTGCAGGGTTCAGGGGGTCACGTCAGCTTTATCTGAAGCTCTGGATTGCAGAGCCTGAGTTCATGAGTTGGGTCTCATCCTGTCTTACTCATCGCAGCATTGTTGACGGCAATGAAACCCCCGAGGGCAGCCCAGGGCTTATCAATAGGAGATCGGCAAGCAAACTGGGAATATCATCATAAAGAATTTCTATAGGTTGTTGCCCATGATTTATTAAAAAGAAATGAAAGTTTATATATATAATAACACATATATTGGAGCATATGTAAAATAATTCTCTCTTATACTTTTAAAATATTTATGATTTATTTTTATTTTATGTTCACTGATATTTTGCCTGCATGTGTGTCTGGGTGAGGGTGCCAGAAGCCCTGGAACCATAATTACAGACAATTGTGAGTTGCCATGCGGGTATTAAACCCAGGTCCTCTGGAAGGACAGCCAATGCTCTTAACAGCTGAGCCATCTCTCTAGCTTCCTGTTTTGTATTTTTAAAAATGGTGTCTCTGTGTAGAACACAAAATATTATAGAAGAAATCACTTGAAATTTAGTAATTATTCTAGGTTTATTTCTGTTGTGATAAAATATCCTGACAAAAGAGAAAGTTAGGGAAGAAAGGGTTTCTTTGGCTTACAATTCCAGGTTATGTCCATCAGTAAGGGTACATCAAGGCGGGAACTCAGCTGTCACAACCACAGACCAGAGCTGGGTACACTGGGGATGGCCTTGGCCTTCCCGCATTAGTGGGCAACCCCCATAGGCATGACCAGAGGCCAAGCTCATCTAGACAGTCGCAACTGAGACTGTCTTCATGGCAACCCTAGGCTGTGGCAAGTTAATAATTAAAAATTAACCATTATAATAATGGTTATTTCTGGATAGTGATAAAACAAATCACTTAATTTTCTTCTTTGCTTTTTTTTTTAGTATTTCTATAGGTTATAAAAAGAAAGGTAGAGAAAAGTGTCCATTTCATACCAGATGACGGCAATTTCTACATATAAGCAAATCTTTTCTATACCTACAGTCTTACTGGGCCTAATGACTTCTCTCTAACACTTCGAACCCCTTTCTCCAGTGGTTTCTCTAGTCACTGTGCACACTAGCACAGCTGTACAGAGAGAAGCTAGTGTACAAGAAACCGGTCAGGTTACTTCAAGCTCTACCGTACACATAGCTAGCGATCACTGTTAAGTTTCTATTACCTTGTAAGTATTTTGTCTGTGAAGTGAACTTAAACTCTGAAATCTTTGAAACAAGGAAACTTGAAGAGCCTGGAGAGATGGCTCAGCCATTCAGAGCACTCAGTTGCTCTTCCAAAGGACCCCAGTTCACTTCCCAGTGACCATGTGGTCGCTCCCAACCATCTGTAACTCCAGCTGCAGGATGTCTAGCACCCTGTTATGGCCTCCATGTGCAATGCAAGTCGATGGTGCACAGACACACATGCAGTCAAGCATTCATACACATAAAAGAAAAATCTTCAATGTTTTTTAAGAGACTAGAAAAGGTTAGTTAGCCACAAACCTTTTTTAATAGAACTACGGTTTGCAACTGTGTACCTTTAGACAACATGATTGACGAGAACCTGTTCTCTAAAATCGCAAAGGCTGCATTGAAAGCATCCTGAGCATGGGTCCCACCCCCAAACTCTGTACATCCACCCTCTCCAGGTGATCCTAGTGTAGGCACAGAGCTGAGAGCCTACGCGTTAGCCAAGACTGCTGCAGCAGGGCAGCACGGGGGCCCAGGAAAACTGTGCAGAAATGTTTGTCAGCTTGAGCACATGTGACGTCAGGCGTCTCCTGGCCTTTGTACTTGGGACAGTACCTGTGAGAACAGTGATGTTTATGTGAGTCCATCCCAGGGCATTCTAGACCCTCGTCTGGCAGGAGGCCTACTGGCTCTCAGGAAATGGGACAGGGAAACTGAGGCTCCCTGCTAGGATGGAGCCTCAGAATGCAGATTGGAAAGCAGTTGGGGAAAAAGGGTAAAAGGAGAAGAGACAGCAGCCGCCCTCCCCAGCATCACCTGGAGCCTGGCAGCCCTGGCTGCTCCCTTCATCCCTCATCCTCACTTCTGGCTCCTGTTTCCATCCAGTCTGAAACGCCCAACGGAAAAGGCAACATTGCCGCCCCCCCGGTGCTGCCTGCACTTTTGGAAAAGTAAGTTTCTCTATTTTCCACTTAATTTTGGGGTTCCTTAGAAAAGCATCCCCATCTTCCTTTCTTTACTCTCATCCTCAATCCAAAAATGAAATAGAAAGAAAATCATTTCCAAGGGAAATGAATTGGACTCTGAGGCCCACAAAGATTGCAGATCGTACTTTGCAACATTCTTGGACCAGGAAGATGCTATGACCGAGGCCAGGTACACTCTGCCTAAGATCCTCAGAGAGGCGGACGGCATCCTCGTTAGCTGGGGATCTTTGGGGCTGTGGACAGAAAGCAGCTGCAATTCCACAGGGCTAATATAACAGGCCCAGTGTGGCAGCATCCATCTCTCTGTGGTTCCCTTCACTCCGGCCACGTCATGCTGATGCCATCGTCCGGATTGTAGCATATAGCTGCTAGTTCCCGGGACCCCAGACAAGAGTATATCTTTAGGAAGATGGATACATCTCTTCCATTTGGGGATAGAACAATTACACGGTTTACACTATCCTGGAAAGCGGGAGGGGGCCCCCGAAACACAGTGACTTTGGACAGAGTAAATTAATTTGTTTTAATCTTTCTGTCAAGAAGTAGAAAGGAAGATACACATTGGCTCGAGAGCTGAGAGGGTCTCCTGGGCCTGACTTTCCCAGGCACCCTTGCAATGGGCAGGCCCTCTCATGCCGAGCCAGAGTGCTAAGGTTCTTCTGTACCGGGGTGGGGAGTGAGGGGATATGGGCAGCTTATAGTTTACTTTTTGAACTTTCTTCATTTGCTTGTTGGGAAAACATGTGGATCACAGCTGCCACCTCTCAAGACTTTCTTTTTGTGTCTTTCCTCTATTGGTGGAGCACAGACGTCATTTCTCTTTTTTGCCTTGGAGCAGCTTGAGCCTTTGATTTCCTGTTGCTCTTAGTAGCCTTGTGTTGTCTGGCAGAGAAAGTGACTGCTGTGCCCCTTGTCAGTTCAGAAATGGTCTCAAGCTCCCTACCTCCAGACTCGGCCTGTGTTCCTCATTCTCGGTGTGTGGGATTGCCAAGTCCCCACTCTCTCAATATTTGTCCCTGTTGTCATCCTTTTCATCACGGAATGTTTCCTCTTCCTTCCTCGCTTCTTAGTCACTCCAGGAAACCTCGAGAGATGACAAATTCATCACCAAACATAAGTATCTAAGTCTATAAAACCTTACCACATACAGCCATGAGGCCTAATCCGTGGCTGTGATCTACCTAGAAATGATCACTTATACTCTCTGAAATTCTGTCAGCCTGCACTTTGAGCTCCTCAGTCTGTTTCAGAGCACTTCCATCAAGGGCCTCTCCCCAGCTCTAGGCCGACAGACCCAGCCAAGGCAGAAGATCTAGGTCCATGCTCTCCTTGGTAGACGCTCTTAGAACTAATGTTCAGGTCAGCTGAGCACTCCAATCCAAGGCACTGGGGACTGTTAAGAACTGGAGATTTGCTCTATAAGAGAATCTGACAGGCAGCCCCAAATCTCTGTGTCAGTGAGTGAGGGTCAGGGATGGTAACACCTTTCACGGGTTTAAAATCAGGAGCTAAAAGGCCAAAGTGAGACTCAGAGTCAAGCCACAGGATACCAGGATGAGTTTGTAGTCTCCCTCCATCCATCCCCAGGCTAGCTTGAAATTGTCATTGGCCATGTGGTTGCTGTGGTTGACTCACCTACTGGAAACATATCCAAAGAAATATGGCTGTAAAGAGGGGAGGGAGGTCTAAAGGAAGGAGAAACACCAGAGAGACCACACAGTAGCAGCTCTTTCTTGTAGAGTCAGAAAAGATATTCGTTGATTTTTTTCCTCCAAATGCACAGACCTGGAAGCGTCATAGATCCCCAAGTGGCCAATAGTGGAACAGTGTGCAGGTGAAAGTGAACCCATGTCCTCTCTACTTGTATCCAGATGCACCAACTCCAGTTAGCCTAGTCACGTTGTTGAAGAGAAATCGTTTTTGCATTGAGCTTCATGTTAAATGATCCCATTTCCTGAGTGTCCAGACAAGGGAGGGGAATGGCTAGGCATGCGACAGCACAGCCACGTAGCCTCTGGCCAGTCCATAGTACAGAGCAGCTGACTATACTGTCTGTCCCCTGTGAGCTTAGAGCGAGCCAAGAGTCTTGCTCTTGTAGGTCATTTCATAACAAACCGCTCTTCAACTCAGCAAAGGTCCAGAGATCTATAGATTTAAATGTATATTAGAGAATGGTTTTTAGTTATCCTTACACACATAGGGAGAGCTGTGTGTCCGTGGCCTTTTATTCTTTCCTTCTTTTGACAAATGCTTTCAGGGTCAGTTTCTCAAGGAGTACTAGTCTAGTGGGAAAATCAGACAGGAAGCAGCCTATTTTTCCACAGTGCGATGAATGTTGTCAGAAGGAAGTGCACGTTGCTAAGGGACCAACACATGAGAAAATGTGCCCCTAACCTCGTGTGGGTGTAAGATGAGGTGGGGCTCAAAAAATGTTTCCACCTAGAAATCTGCTTTTAAAGTGAAGCCTAGAGGTTTTATCATCAACGAGTTGAATGGGAGGTTAAGGGCATCCCAAGGTAGTGGGGGAATTCAAAGAAAGATGATGACTGTGGTGGTGGTGATGACGATTCTTGTTCTCAGTCAAAACACATTCCTTGCGTGCCAGGTGCCTTTCCCCTTGCTTGCTGTCCATTCCATATCAGCCCTGCCAAGGACCTCATAGGTAGATACATGATTAACATCTCTGTCTTATTGATGAGGAAAATGATACCCAGAGATATGCTCCCTGAGCTTAGACAGCTGGAAGATGGCCTGGCTCAGGCTCTTAACCTCTTAATAGAACAGAGGACATCAGAGGAGCTACAGAGGAAGGGAGGAAAAGAGGACTCTCTGGGGGAGAACCCGGTGATCAGATGGCCATGGAGAGTGGGACAGAGCAGGGGATGAGAGGGTGTATGCAGAGCCACTCACAAAGGAATCAGCAAGGCTGGGGCGTGGGGGTGTTAGTGGGTTATTTTTATGATAAAGCCATGATGCAGGCATGTCACAGTGCAGTGCTAGCTATTGGTTTAAAAATCATTCTCTTCTGTGCTTTTGAAGCAGCCAGGGTCATTGAATTTGCACAGCAAATAATCTATCCCCCTTATCGATTGTATTCTAGAGAAAACTTTACCCCAGGATAATTATCATCCAAGAATCTGGGACTGGGTGCAAGGAAGCAAGGAAGGTTCTATAGCTCACGTTCTCTGGAATGGGCTTATCAAAAGAAGTCACTGAATTGGGATGATTTAGCAACATTGCTGAGTTCAAGAGGCAAGATCTGCCCTTTGGAAAAGATTGAAGTCACTTTCAAATACTGCTCACCAATAAACTGATATCCAGCGTGGCCAACAGTTTACTTTGGGCAAACAGACACCATGTGACTGGGAGCTGGGCACAGTGATAAACACAGTTACGGTTTAATGGCTCGCTCAGAAAGAAGGCACAGGATTCCAGGCTGAGGACAGATGCCACAGTCCACACAGTGATCCCTGACACAGGCACAGATTGTGTCCAGCTCTTGTTTACAGAGATGAATGCAGATTCTCTTAGACCAAGCCTAATTCTAGGCTCTCAGGAAATTCTCATTTACAGATAGGATCTGTTCATTTCACTAACTTCTTGTGCAGGATTAGACAAGTCACTGTGAAGCTGGAGTAATGGAAGCACTCTAATCTGCACCAGGCACCTTCCAGACCTTTCCAGACAGCCCTCTCCGTGATCATGATCAGAGGGTGGGATAGGTCGGTGGAAAGGCATTCTGCCTTTGTACAGAGGGAGATGACAGATCCACTTGAGAGGAAGGAACGCCTTGCAAGGACAGTAGACAGCCCTCCCACAGACCAATTATTACTGCAGTTAAGGTCAGAACCCAATCAGCCAATGAAAGGGGCCAAATTAGTAGAAGAAAATCTAAAAGGATTTATTCAATACAGTTATATTGGGAAGAAGAACAGAGATCCAGTGACCCTCTGCCCAATGTATCTTCAGTCCCAACAGGAGGCCTGGGTTTAGGTAGAAGGCCAGAGATGAGCATAACTGGACAGTCTGGTCAAGGTGTGGTCCCTCCCATCACTGGCCCACCAGAGTCTCAGCTTCACTTCTGTCCTGCAGGGTAATCTGGCAAGTTGCAAGTCTTTTGCGGGGCAGACGAATTTCCCCTCTGGCTGGCCTAGGCCTCTAGCAGCATGAGATCCCCGAGGGGATTTCAATTTCTTGGGGTACAATGTTCCAACAGTCTGATAGCCAAGGGGAGGCCACATGTGTCTTTTCTATTAGAATATCCTCATTCCTGCCAGGCAAGAGGGTTACAAGATTTCACAGCCTCAGGATGGGATTTAAGGTCTCTGAGCCTGGGGTGCTGGAGTTTGAACCAGGTCTGTCTCAGACACATTCTCTTCATATTTGTTTAGCTTTAAGGACCCTCTAATGTGGGCAGCTATGGAGAAAAAAAAAAAAAAAACTAAAGGCGCGGTGACCATATTTCACTTCTAATGTATAAATATGCTTAGTGTGATAAGGGCCGGCCCCACCCCTGACTCTAGCTATGTTTTTCTCCGCTTGCCCCAGTCACTGAACAAATAGGAAACTGCACACTAGGCTGAGGTCACAGGGAAGGGAGTGGAGAGTATAGTTTGCAGGCTGAGGACTGTTATGAATAGCTGGTATTTTTAGAGCGTTATCTTTCTTGTTCGTGATGGGATTTGGTTTTTAGCCTAACGAAACATATATTTTCAAGGTCTGAGGGAAAGCTAAGAGATAGGAAGTTGACACCAAGAGTAGGGAGCAAGCTGAAGATTTCCCTCTGCCTGAGGGAAAGCAGCCGTGACCCCTTAGCTTCCTGCTAGGAGGCTTAGCTTGCAATGTGGTCTTGTTTCTGGGCTCCTCCATGACGCCATTGCTTCTAGTCAGGTTAGGGGCACCAAGATGGCTGCAGAATCTATCCTATTAGGTTATTAGGTTGCTTCCTCTGAACTTGTGATCCTACTCATGCTTTAGAGGGGCTCCAAGTGTGCCCACTCATCCTGAGGTGGTTTGCTACTGTGCCTGTTTTCCTACTTTGCCACACAATGCTTGTACTTGCTGCTGTTTTGTGGCCTTCTCAGACCCTCTGCTCTCATTCTCTGCAAAAGACCTGGCCTTAGCGTTTCAGCTTCACCATTGGGATAGGAGGCAGCTCGCCTCTGTTCATCGGGACCCCATTCCACTGCCCTCCTCTGCTGCTCTTTGTCCAGTTAAGGAGAGGTTTCTGTTGCCTTTTGAAGGTCTTGGTTCCTTCAGTCAAAGGTGCTGTCCCTTTGGCTATCTTCTCTCATCCCCTCTGGGTCCTTTGGTCAAAGGTACTGTCCCTTGGCCATCTTCTCTCACTCTCTCCGCCAGGCCCTTTCTACCTGTTTTTGAATAGGCTTGCACCCTTGACCCATTTGTTCAGCTGAGCCATCCTGTCAATGCACTCACTACTCCCCTTCCCAGCCCAATGGTGGCTGTACCTTTCTCCTTTCCCTTTCCTTATTACCTCAAGGCTCCATGTGACCCTTGCATCATCAGACCCCACCAGGGACCCAGACTTTCGGAAGACACGGAGAAGCACAGTGAGCCTTCTCTCCCTGACTCTAGCGTTATTTCTGTCTTTTTAGCCTCTTCCTCCTTCTTTTCTCCTCCTCCTCCTGAGAAGAGCTTGACAATAACGGGGAGTTGTCCTGAGATCTCTGCTCTTCTTTCCTCATGCTTTTTTTTTAGGCCATCATCCATTCTTTATATTCTTTATATTGATATCAAGTGGTTGTCTCTGCCTCCCTTGGACATCTCCAACTGTCTTCAGCATTTCTTCTCGGACACCTCATATGCATGGCAGTTTATTCTGCTCCAAACTTCGCTCCTGTCATATTGATTGTTCCCAGCAGCTCAGGTTTACAGCACCCATTGCGTCCCAAAGTCTTTCTAGCCTCCGTCCTCTGCCTCAGCTGTCTTTCCATACATAGCTCATCTTTGACACTGGGGCTTTAATATCAACACCTCAGAGAGGCCTTTTTTGACCATCCACTCTAAACACACTCTCTCTTTTTCATTTTCTGTCACCGAATGGTTTCTTTCATAAATATTATAATTCATAATTAATATGATTACTTTTTCCTTCTGCAAAACTCTACATTGGTGAAAATGGGGGCCATCTTTTCCTCTTTCCAATTCCACATTGCCTTGTGCCTGTAGCGTTATCATACTCAATGCACAGTTGAAGGAACAGTTGAAAGTCACAGACACACACTGACTACAGAAAGAAAGGATCTAGGGTACTTCAGTCTGCCTCCTTGTGGCAGTGTCCTGTTGCCTGTGACACTTGCCTTTCTACTCAGCACCTTCTGAAATAAGAATAAAGTTGGATTTGGGGATATCCAGCAAAGGGAGCTGGTGTAGTGTCTGCCTCCTCAGTGGTCTGGGGAAGATTCATGGAATGCGTCTTTATAAAATCTTGTCTCAAGGTAGATGTTTTAAAACCTGAAAGCCCGTGAAAGAGCCCGAGCTTCCTCTTTGAATCGGGAACCAGGACAAAGATAGGGTTTTGTCTTCAGATGTTCAGTCTCTCCCTGCAGTGACGCCCTGTGCTTCCCCTCCCCTCGCTAGTGGAAAGACAAATGCAGAGGCCGACTGTGAAGCTTGTGCCCCCGCCTTGCTCCCGAGCTGCCCGGAGGACGTGAGCCAGGAGACCAAGGCCAGGGCAGAGGAAGAAGTCTACAGCAAAGTGTGAGTCAGACCTCGCCACCCCGAAGGCACCTGGCAGGTCTCAGAAGTGAGCTTCCCACACCCTGGCTTGCTTCTGAGGAGTTTTGGGGAAGCAGTCAATGGGCCGAAAGCCTCTTTGAGTCAAGAAAGCAAGACACAGGATGTGCTTAGACAATGGCCGGCTTCAGCTAGACTCCTCTCTTTTTCAGGCATGCTGCCACTGCCTAGAAATGTCTACACATGAGGGGCCTGGGCTAGGTTCCTCTTGGTGCAGAGTTGTCATGTTGCTGCCAGCAGTGCCCAGGGGCACCTTCAGCTGTGCTGCCTGCAATTGCCCTGCTGTTCCCTATAAGTCAGAGCTCCTCCTCCTGCCCTTGCCCGCCGCCGTTTCCACCCCTGCCTATCTCTAAATGAGCTGCATTAGCAACCAGTGCCAGCTCCCAGCCACTGGGAGAGAACACTGAGCAGGGCCAAAGGCCCAGGACTCAAGATAGAGACTCACCTTTAACCTGGCCTGGCGCCCCATGACTCCTGAGGGAGGTTCAGCTGACCATGGGCACAGAACCCCGTGGTATCTGTGTGGCAGTCACTCAGTGGTGGGTGGGGTCATCTCAGCCAAACTAATAAAGTTAGCCACCTGGCTGTCAGACAAGTGAGCAGATATGTTCAGGGGAATATTGATCCCGAGAGAAATCATGGGGGGCTTTTACAGGCGGGTCTTCTCAGAAAACACTGAAGCAAAGTCCATCCACTGGTTTTGTGAATGTTTTCTGGGTACCTCCCTATGTCAAGGCCTGACATTTCTGAAAAACACCCGGGCACCCTGAGATGAGGTTCTCCCTAAAGCCGAAGCTCCTAGGTTCCACGGAAAATGCAATCTTATCTCTGGGGAATGTTCTGTAGGATGGTGACCAGCAGCAGATCTTGTCCCACATTTCCTCAGTCAGTTTGTCCCCCTGTCACATAAACAGGAAGGATGGCTGAGGAGTGAGGGAAATGGTCCTGACATGAGCAGTGTTGGGGCTCAGCAGAGTTTCCCAGCTTTTTCCTGTTGAATGGAGTCATAGGAAGTGCGCAATGACTGGAAGTTCTTGAGTCCTCTCCCCCGGGTCTGGGGCAAGAATGCCCCATGTCTGGTCCTCCCTGACTCAGCTGTTCCCTTTGGCCCTCCAGATATCAGGAAGGGGTAAAGAAGACAGAAGAACTTCAAGACCTGAAGGAGGAGGAAGAGCAGAAGACAGAGAGTCCCGAGGAACCAGCGGAGGTAGAAGAAACTGAGGAAGAAGAGAAGGAGCAGAGAAGCAGGTTGGAAACCTACACTTGGATACCAAATGGGTTTTAGGTCATTTACCTGTTGAATCGCACAGAACCTTCCTGGATGGCAGTAGGTCTGATGGCCAACAGAATTCAACAAGGCACTGACTCCAGAAAATTAAGTTAGAAATGGCACATTACAAAAGCTGAGGCATCAGAGGTAGTTTTGGGCACGGCAGAAAGCCACTAATAGCTCTTAGGAGCCGAGAAAGGGAAAAGGACTTTTGGTGGACTCCCAGTCAAGCTGTGGTCAGCCCATTCCACAGCCACCACCATAGAAGAGTTCAGATTGAAGGGGCTGGCCTGAGTTCCTAGAGAGGGGCTTGGATGAAGCCAACAACAGCAGAGGGAAGCAGAAGGAACATGGAAGGCAGGGAACAAACTTAGCTCAGCGGCCAAGGTCAGTCTCTAATAGGCCCCTGCTATGATGACCAAACGCTTGGTCATTTGCCTGGTGTCTTCACTTCAGGTTGGAAACAAAGTCTTTTGTGTTTCAAGCTCTCTTCTTCTAATGAGTGGAAGAGGAGAAGGAACACAGAAAGTCTGTATCCTATGACTTGGCCCACTATAGCCGAAGGTCTCACTTTACCACACAGAACAGTAAATTAAAAACCAAACAAAACTGGCACTAGGGATGGAACCCAGGACCTTGCAAATGGCAGACAAGCACCCTTCTCCTGAGATGCTTTTCCAGACCAAGGACGATAGACATAGCCTTGTCTCATTGCAGGGTATTCTGTGTAATAAGGTCACAACCCTATCCCACACAGGAATGTGTTTAAGGACAGAATCAACTATTCCTCAGAAGAGGCGTGCACTGCTTTGTCAATATAAGGACTGAGCAACACCCTAGATTTTCAAAAAAGCCCCAACTTCATGTATTATACCCGACTATCTCTATTAGTACATCAAAATTATAAGTCTTGTTTTTTGCTTTGTTTTGTTTTTTCCCCCCTCAATTGTAGTTATACTTGGAATACTTCACCAAAATTTTCTTTTAGATACCCTCAACTATCCTGGGGTTCAGAACATTTCCAGACAACACCATTAGCTGTATGACCACCTGCTACTGATCCCAGACGCGGTGTCTGTAACTGAGTCTCCTGCTGGCAAGCTCCAGAACCTACTCACATGTAATGAATAGGTAGTAAGTGAAGATTAGAAAGATGGTAATTATATTTCTAAGCCTTAGATGCCATCAACATGGCCCAGTGGTAAAAGAAGCAACCAGCAGGAGGGGGCTTAGCCTGCCTGGATCAACCCCATTGCCAAGGGAAGAGCTTTCTTAGCATGCCAGGGAAAATGCTTCCTTCAGGGAAACATGCCCTCTCTGGTGAAAGAGCCTCAAGTTTAATCATGGAAGCACAACCCTGACTCCAAGCACCTGCATCCGGTCCTCCTTACATCTCACCTCCCTCTTGGGGGTCATCTGCATTTAATTTTCAGACCAGCAGGGTGCCTTTGCCAAGTCCAAGCCTGCACAAAAGCCCTTCCTTTGGCACCTTGAATTCATCTAAGTCAGGCTAGAATTTCTAACACTTCCACACACAGCAAGAGAACAAAAGAGAAATAAACAGAGCAAGCACATGACTATAAACAGTCTGGCTTACAAAGCCTTATCTAGCTAACCATCTCTGGCACTTGGCAGCTCCCTCCTGTCTCATGAAAGCCGGGGGGAAGCAAGGTTTTGCCTGGGTCCTTTTCTGCCCCTCTTGTGAGCAATTCTGGACACTGGACACTTGCAGCACCTGAGCCTTTAGAGGCCCCAGTGGGACCCCCATCCTTCACGCCTGATTACAGCTGCTTTAGGTTCTGAGGCAATAGCATCCTCCAGTGACTGACACCAACCTGAGTAGTACCCTCCAGAGGGTCCTCAGCCTTCAGCACAGGGGTACAACTTCACTTTTTTAGGCTCAGCCCATCTTCTCAGGACATTTATCATATAAACTGCATGTCCACTGTCAGAAAGTTCCTCTCTCCCCCATAACCCCAGCCAGACTTGTCCCAAGAGCTGTCATGCTTAGTGCCAGATGATAGTCAGCCTACTATGGAGTCCCTGAGGACCAGAGTTGCCAGCAGGAGACTTCACTTGAACAGGAGTCCCCTGTGGAATGTTGGCGCCTCACTAGCAAACAAAGTCTGAAGTTATCAGAAGTTCCATGGGCTGGAAAAATGGTTTAGTTACTAAGAACACTTGGCACACAACCACAAAGACTGGAGTTTGGATCCCAGCACTCACATAGTTTGGATCCCAGCACTCACATCCAAGTGAGCACTTCGTAACCCCAGCTCCTGGAAAGGCAGAGACAAGAGGATCGCAGCAGCTTGCTGGCTTCTAGCAAACTACCAGCATTAGCTCCAGGTTCAAGGAGGGACCCCTGCTCAAAAGCCTAGAAGAAGGGGATAGAGGGGAGCATCCAATGCCCTCTTTCTGTCTTCATGTGCAGCCATGGGTGTATACACTTGCACATGTGCACACAGGTGCACTCACACTCGTGTTTACACACACACAGATGTGCACACACACACACCACAGAGAGTGGATTTTATGTCTTGTTTCATACATTTTAGAAAACACTGGGGCTAGAGAGATGACCCGGTAATTTAGAGAACTTGTTGCTCCTACAGAGGATCTGGATTTAGTTCCCAGCATACACTTCATAGCTCACAAATATTCTAACTCCATTTCCAGGGGATCTGATGCCTTCCTCTGACCTTTATGGAAACCAGGCATGCACACATGCACACGGAAACATATATATATGTATGTATATATATGTACACATATATACGTTCAGGCAAAACACTCATACATACAAATTAAATAAACAAAAAGTAACCCCAAAACAAAACAAAACAAAAAAATAAGTTAAAAAATGTTACCTAAGTAAGGCCAGCAACTAGCCCCTTATTTGGGTCTCAGCATTGAACTCTAAGTCCTCTAAATTTCTTCTTCTTTTATATGCAATGAAGCCATCTATTATAAATACCAATCTCTGGAAGAACTTCGGGCAGAGCAACCCAGCACCTTCTTAACATGGTCCGTGGCATTATTATGTAACACAGCTGAGATTCACACTATGTCCTGTAAAATGGGCTCTTTTCTCTCACCACGGGCTCAGACGTACTCTATGGGTGTGAACGATAGTTAAGCAGGTCCAACACTACTTCGAAAACAGAAGGGCTAGCATCAAACCTTGACCCAAAGGAATTCTATTTCTAGCTTAATTTTGCTTCCAGTTTCTCTTATAGGCCGAAAACCAGGTGACCACGTAGGGATCGTGTACCCAGATCTTGACCACCTCTTTTGTAGACTGAGGATGGATGTAGGGGCTGGAAAGATGCCACTTTTATAGAGGACCTAAATTCACAACCTCCTATAAATCCAGCTCCAGGGCACCTGATACCTCTGGCCGCCACAGACACATGCACACTGGTGGGCATACTCCCCCCTCCATAAGTGTAACTAGAAAGTAAATCTGAAAGTGTGGATTTGGAGTGGCCTTCTCACCACACCAGCAGCCTGTTTTGAAGCACAAGAGTATAGCTCAAAAAATGGCTCTATTTTGGATTCCAATTATATCCCAGTAGGATCTCAAGATGAATAGGGCTGGAAGGAAGGAGGCTTGCACTTCACATCTGTCCTTCCCAGCAGTCACATAAATAGCCAGTGGTTTCTTGGAAGAAGTGTGCTAAGCTGTGTACAGCTGAAATTGCTGCTGGGGTTCCCGCACGGACATGAAACTAACTGCTGTCCCTGTGGCCATGGCACCCAAGGCAAGCACTTCAAGGACCTGGTCCCTTTCTTAGGAGGGCATTTGCTGAGGATTTCGCCCCATGGCAAGCCATCTACTTCCCACCAGTTCCCTGTTCAAGTTTCCATCCTGAGCCAGGGGCCTGAGCATCCCAGCGTGTTTGTGAGACATGCAGCCTACAGGAAGCCCTCGGTGACTCTCCCCACCTCTGTGGTGTAGTAACCCTCAGTCATCTTGCTTTGCAGGTCGCTGAGTTGGAATTGGACACAGGAGAAAAGCATAGCTTGCGTTAAATGCACAGGACACCTCCGGAAACCTCTAGGATGGGACTCCGATCAAATGTCCCTTTACTAAACTGAAAAGACAGAGCATGGGCTGAGAGGAAGTTGGGAAACAAGCAAGGGGGAATGTGATTAAAGTAGAGGAGACAGATGCAGACAAAGAGGAAGACATGGAGAGAACAGTTTGGAGAGAGTGGGGAAGAGAAGGAGGGACGAAGTGGAGGATGGGCATAATGAAGTTGACAGACATCAGCATGAGCCTCTCAGAGTATGGACCAGTGGCACCAGACCTACCCGGGGATTCTTAGGTCATTACTGGGATTCTCATTCAGAAGACCAGGAATATTTTGGATACGAGCTGCCAGGTGATTCTCTGAGTAGCAGAGCTTAAGAACCTCTGCCTTAGACAGCATAGAAGGTATCCCCAGACAGGAAAGTATGGGTCTGGGCATCAGATATGTGCTCAATATACTAATCTCTCTATTCCCTTGACAGCAAACTTGAAGAACTGGTCCATTTCCTACAAGTCATGTATCCCAAATTGTGTCAACACTGGCAAGTGATCTGGATGATGGCCGCAGTGATGCTGGTCTTGAGTATTGTGCTCGGGCTCTACAACTCCTATAACTCGTGTACAGAGCAGACCGAGGGGCCCCCTGGGAGATCCACCTGCTCCGCGGCCCAGCGGGACTCGTGGTGGAGCTCAGGACTCCAGCAAGAGCAGCCAGCGGAGCAGTAGGGCCTCAGACTCCTTAGCCATACCCTCCTCTAGAGCATTCACCCCACACCCTGCCCCCGCGGACAGTGTGCCAGGCCCAGGTGTGCCATGTGGCCACCCATCCCATCGGGGAACAAGGAGGCTTTCTCTTCCCCCTCGTCACCTCTGTGGAAGCTACTCACATACCATAAGCTGATGGTTTGAAGGGATCAGCAAAACTTCTCTGGGAAAGCATCTGGTGGACAAAAAGTGACCTTCACAAAGGACTCTGACACAAGGGAAGAGCCCTGCCCCCAAGCCAGAGGGCTGGGAGAACTGAAGGCCCTTCATTCAGGGGACAGCGAGAAGCCTGCTCTCTCTTTTCCTCCCTATGTTTCAGAATCAGGAAGAGTCCATCAGGGTCAGACCTGGGACTTGGAGTCACAGTGTGGATATCTTCCCACTTCATTCGCCACGCCACTCTTTAGCCTTCTCTCTCTCCTTCAGAATCACCATTTCTTGTCAGAGCGTGGGAAAAGCTTCCTCAGAAAAGTACACAGGCTAAAAGTAGCCCCATGCTCGAAAGGAAGCAGGAAGATGTGAGTTCATATATAACGTATCTTTATGCATCCGGACTGTACACACAACATGTTTGTGCACAGACACCCACTCTCTGGAAGTGCGCTCTGCTCAGTGGCAGCCATGTTGTGCCAAGCAATTGGTTTTCACTGGGTATGGAACAGTAGTCACCAGGCATCAATACAGGGAGCCCTCCACACACTCTGAAGATGTTTGAAAGCCCTAAGAAATCACGTCTGCATTGCACGTCCAGTACCAGTTTGGAGCTGCTCTTCTGCATGGTCTGTTCCCTGGTTGTGCAGTGCCTTTGAAAGTGATCCTACATAGCTAACCCACCCCTTGGGTAAGAAAAGGTGTGCCTTCCACTCCAGACTCTCACTCTACCTTGCACCTCAGGGCTGCCGTTCTCATGGTGTTTCCTGCCCAAATGTGTCCTTTGGAAGACCCGCTCAGCATCAAACTGAAGGAGCGCACCTCACCTCCAGCACGCGTCTCTCCCACTGTTCAGCTGTTACCCTCATTCAGCTCTCATCAGTTAGAGATAGGTCTTCTGTGGTGGTTGCTTTTCATTGTTTTTGTTGCTAACACTCCTGTAGACCTTTATTGTGAGTCAAAACTGTCTCAGTGTTATATAGGTAGCAATTCATTTAGTCCTCAGGAAAAACAAAATCTGAAATGGGGGTTTCTTTTTCTCTGTTCAAAAATGGAAACAGCAGCATAAACAATACAAGAATACACACATACACACAAACATACACACACACATACACGCACACATACACATACATGCATACATACACACACACACACTGATACAACTCGTCAAGCATATATAGCTAGTAAGTAAGTCATTCAAACTAGAGTGGTCTGGCTCCAGGGCTGTACCCCTGACCCTTCTCCTATGGTCTCTCAGCTAGGCACCTTCCAGCCTGATCCCACCCCTGCCCCAGCTGGCCCTTCTGCTTCAAACCTGCCATGGTTCCCAAATGAAATTGCTTCTCCAGCTGTAGGTCAACTCATGAGCATCTCTCCTGCCCTTGTCCTCTTTTCGCCACTCCTAAGGACCAGTCACAAACACTACCCCTCCATAAAGGCCTCAGTGACTGCCTTCCACGTTCTCACCATGCCCAGCATCCTGGGGGCATCCCACTTAGTGCTTCCGGCACTGGTGAAATTTCAACCCTTGACCTATATCTACGGTCTAGCTTATTTATACATCTGCCTCCCTGGACGTTTTTCCTCAAATACTATGCCTTACCATCTCTTGGGTAGGTACCTAACATGGCAAACACTTTGGAGAGAGTCATTCAATGTTGGTTGAAAGAACAAGTGAGCATTGAAGTCGGAGAGCAACCTAGAACATGAGGTTTCCCAATACCATAACCCTCAGGACCTTCCTGTCTCCATGAGAAACCTGTCATGATTGATTCCTAATCTCAGCTTGTTTTTATCTTTCTCTGTTTACTCTGAGAGAACAAGAATGGAACCAGACACAGCAATCCCTTTTCCCGAGTTCAAGTACAAGATTCCATGCAATCACTCCTTTTAGACAGACATGCCCCCTAACCAACCCCGACTAGGCTTCCCTTTAAAATGCTGGTTTTGAAGGGACGTCCTTTGCGGTGGATGGAAATGGCAGAGTGAGGAACCTGGATGTGCCATTAAAGGTAATGAGATTCAGAGCAAGGCAGTGGGATTTTGCAGGCATAGGTAGATGTTTACCTGGTGTCTTCCATAGGAACAAATACAGCCAAAGGAGATTTAGTTACTAAGCACTGTGTAGCCAAAGACAGGGTGTAGACAAAACGCAGAGAGAGCAGCTGTTAGGACTCTAGGGGGTCAATGTCTAGTCTCAGTCCACCCCCACACCAAAAGAAGGTCCAACTTGAATGAGCCCTTCGTCCTTTGGGCCACGAATTCCCACCCTGTTCTAGGTGAGACAGAGTCAAGGGGAGCATCTGCAAATTGCCTCAGCATCATCGCTGGCCTCTGAAGCCTGCAGGAGCCTGGGGCCTAGATCAGCAACCATACTACTCCAGCTGTGAGGACAGCTGAGGAAAAGAACATCTCCAAAGAGCATAGCCATACTTAGAACAGCGTGGCTGAAAACACCCTCGCTGGGCCACCTTTTCAAGAAAACGGGGGATAACTTAAAGCAGGTACAGCTGCTGCCACACACGGCCAGTGACACAGAAGCCAGCCTTGTGTTTCCTGACATCACAGCAAAATGAAATAAAAGTTTCCATTCAAGATGCCTCTGAAACAGGACATTTCTGCTTAGCTTCCAGCGTCTGGTTGCCAGCCTTCTGCTGAAGAGGAATGTGTTTGTGGCACCACTGATGTCACTTCCTAAAGGACCTTCACTTTCTAGCCACCGTGAAGTCTGTCTCCTTTGCACAGCCTGGAAGAGGGAACAGCAAGGGGGACGCTGGACCTATGTCACCGGCTGTCAGTCCTTCACGTTAAGCCCCACACAGGTAGGTGTGCTAGTGCTGAACTTAGAATGTCACGTAGCTGAGTTTGAAAATAAACGCACATTTCCAAACCTTTGGCAGAAGTCAGATGCCTCTTTGTTATGTGGAGCCGAAGCCTAATCTTTCTCCAGTGCTGGATTAGATCCCCAGAGAACTGGAGAATCAGGGTCTAATCTGTAAAGATGGGATCTCTCTCCAAAGATGTCTGTGATTTTTACCGTTGCTAAAATACCCTGGCAAAAACAATCTCATGGAGGAAGGGTTTGCTTTGGCTCACAGTTAAGGGTACAGCCTGTTATGGTGGGGAATTCTTGGCAGCAGGAGCTAGAGGCAGCTGGTCACCTGTGGCTCAGCCAGGAACCAGAGTGGTGAATGTGCTCCGCTCACTTTCTCCTTCTCATATAATCCAGGATCCCTTCTAGGGAATGGTGCCCCCCACGGTGGGCAGGCCTTCCCACCACAATTAGCCCAGTCACCTACTATAGGCATACTCAGAAGCTCATCTCCTAGAATCTAGGACCTAAATGATTCTAGCTTTGATAAAATTAACAATGGCCATCCTCCAGCTTTTGGATATGAGATATGACTCTTGTTCGTTTATGTGTTATATTTTATGGGACTGTCAGATAGAATATCTAGTTTTTCCTTGTAGGAATCAGTTCTCTCCTTCTACCCTGTAGGTCTTGGGGGCTGAACAAGATCATTAGCCTTAAGGAGTCACCTCAACTGACCCTCAGCCTTGGTTCTCTTTTGTTTGTTTTGAAGTTGATTCTCACTTGTAGTCCAGGCTGGCTTTGAACTTGTGATCCTCCTGCCTTCACCCTGTGAGTGTAGGCGTGTCCCCACCACGTTCAGCTTCAGAAGAGGTTCATTTGGTTCATGATGCTGGAGTTCATGGTGCCTTTGCCAGCTCATTTCCGACAAGGAGCTCCCAGTGAAGGGCAAATGGTAGTGACAGGTGTGGACGTTGGAGCGAGCGGCCATGTGTCAGAAAACCAGAAGCAGAGCTCTTCCCGCTGTTCTTCTGAAGAGGCAAGCAGGTCTCTCTTTCCCTGCTCTCTCTTCTCTCTTCCTTTTATTCCCCAACTCCCTTTATTTCAATAAAACCTCCCACGTAAGCTCTGTCTGTATGGTGTATTAGTCTTTCGCCCGCTGTGAGGCCTCTGCACCCACCAAGGTCCCTCTGGCACATAATCATACATTGGTGTTATAGCTCTGCCAGGCTTTCCCCAAGGTCCTTTCCACCTGTGGGCGGGTGGCCTGAGGCATGCAGAGACCCTGACCTGGACTGATAGATCACTTTCCAACTACCTGTCTGTTGGGATCACAACATCTGCTACTTCAGTCGAGAGACAGGTCGGCTCCTCTAAAAAAGACGAGAACAAAAGAACCTCCAACCAGAGCTTGCTTCACAAGCGGTAGTGCTAGCCACTGAGAAAACCCATCTTTCACCTCAACTGCTGCAAAGACCCTCCTCACACTGTGGACAACAGGGCACTGGGGAACCAACTGCTTCAGGTTACCTAAGACGAAGGAAAAGCTCTCCCACGAGTCCTTCCTCTGCAGACGCCTGGGGATTATTCCGGGGCCCTGCAGGCCTACCTCTGCCAGCTGGAAGACGACGTTGCCCTAAGACCTGCCCTCAGCGACCACGGAGGACCCTGGAGTGGCTGTCTAAGTAGCCACTGTCTAAGTAAGTCTCTGTCATTTTTAATCATTAATCCAGATAAAATTTATCCTTCTCCAGAACTCTGATGCAGTTTGAAGACCAATAGCTTTGCTTGCTTGACAGCAGGAACCAAGGCTTCAGCCATCTTCTCAGTTCTCTGTGTAAAGTTCAGATCACAGGCTTCACTCTCCTGGAGCCAATACAAGGTCTAGACACAATTTACCTCTCTGCTGAGAGACAACTCACAGCACAGATTTCTCCTGAATGTTAAGATGATGCCATAATGAAGGAAAGGAACAGGTCCTGCCAGGAGCTGACCCGGTACAGAGCTTGGGATGTGAGGATCAGAGATGCTTTAGGTCTAAGAATGTGTTTTAAGGTGCGCAAATGCCAGACATAAAGGTCTGAGGGAAAAGGCTTAAGTGCCGATAATCTTGACACTAAATAAATTTCTGATAAGCCATCAATCTAGCTCTGGCAGAGTGCCAGCACCATCATCACAGTTACAAGCTCAAGGTTTTAAATTCCCTTTGGTTGTTTTCTAAATATAGACCCCCCCAAAGATGCCTTTCATTGTGCAAGATCATCTGTCACAGTTTTCTGGATAGAAGAAAGATTGTTAATGCTTTTAATCAAAGTCATTTCTGGCACAAATACACTGATATTTCTAATGTGTCTAGACTTATGTTTTCACACACTCAAAGAATTCTTGTGAGTTCCAGGAAGTCAACTTGGGTTCACCTCGAACAGGTCAGATGCACCCCTTCCTTCCTAAGCACCCTAAGTCTCCCCACCTTTCCCTGGTCTTGACATCCCCTTCCTCAATTATCAGAACCTAAGGAAAATATTTTTCCTAAACTTAATCTTTTTCTCTGCTCTGCCAGCATCTTGCCAGATTCAAGAGGCACCAGACAGTTCCACATAGCCTGGACAGCAGTAAAACAACCAGATACCCTAGGATGTGACCAGCACCCCAACTTTCTCAGGTCCCCCAAAGATGGTCAATGCCCCAGATCAGCAGGAAGTAGTCTTGAGAACTCAATACCCTCATTTCCCCTACCTGCCACACCTAACTTCTGACCTTTTTTAATAAATAAAGAATAGAAGAATGTTAGCATCCAGACGAACCTGGCCCCGTCCCTTGGGGGCCCGACAGAGTGCATCATGTATGTCCTGTGTCACACCTGCATGCAGGGAAGGCAGTACCCTGTCTCTTTAAACATGAAACTCTGCCTACTTCTCTCTTTTTCCTTTTCCCCTTTCTCTCTCTGCATCTCCTTCTCTTTCTCTCTTTCTCTCTTCCTTTCCTTCTCCCACCCATTTTATCTCAATAAAACTCCCCACTTGAAAAGGATGGCCAGTATAGGCTTCCTTCCTACATAACAACCATCTCCCCAAAGCTCCCAAAGGAACTGCTTCTTCTTCCTCATATGGTACCACGCCGGAGACCAACCGTTTAACCACAACAGAAACCCGAGTGACACTCAAACTGCATCCTGTCCATAGCAGTGATCTTCATTACGCCATTTCTCTGGCATTCCTGAACCGCTCTAGCCTCGTGATGGCCATGACGTCCATCTTTCCCCTTGACAAGTGAAAAAACTTTCACTGAGATCCTCAGATCCTGCCTCCTCAGTACATTGGAGAGTGGTCCCCATGGGTCCAAGTCTACAAATGGCCATTGGTATACCTGATCAGAATACCAGGGATGTAGTGGCTGGAATGGGAATGGCCTCCACAAGCTCATCTGTTTGAGTCCTTGGTCCCCAGTTTGGTGCAACTGTTTGAGAAGGACTAGAAGGTACAGCCTCGTTAGAAGAGATGTATCGATGGGGGCAAGCTTTGAGGTTTCACAAGTCCCGAGCCATTTCAGTTAGCTCTCTCTGCCTCACGCCTATGGATCAGAATGTAAGCTCTCAGCTACTGCTCCAGCACCATGCTCCCACCATGATGGTCATGGACTTACTGTCTGAAACAATAAGCCTCTATTAAATGCTTTCTTTTAGAACTTGCCTTGGTTGTGATTTACTATAGAAATTGAAAAATAGCTAAGACAGGGCATATCTCTGAGATCAGGAACTCTGCAGGGTAGGACCTTGGGTGGTCTCCGTTGAGAAGAGTATGGTGTTCTGCAGAAGGAGGAAATAGTGAGCCCCATACTGGGTGGCCAGGCAGGGACACTCAAGCCCAGACCTTCCCGTGTTCACCAAGTCATTTTTCTTTTTCACTCTTGGGTACATACTTGAATTAAAGCTCCTTAATCAGGTTAGATGGGAACATGTGACTAAGTTCTGATTGCTCAACTATGAACAGGAGTGATCTATTCCAGGCTTAGCCTCAAAAGCAATCTTTAGCACCGTTATCTACATCTGCTGGTTCACTGTGAAGATCCTGGAAGGGAACGCAGAGAGATCAGAAGACAGGAGTGCCACGGGAGACAGGTCTGTGGAAACATCACGCCGTGGATTCCTCAGTGTACACACTCACTATTACTGCCGCCAGCACCCGTCAGTCATTGCGATACCACGGATATTTCAAGTGCGCCATCCAGTTGTGGAGTTGTTGGTTGCAGTAGTTAGACTACAGTGACTAATATACTTGCCTACCTGTATGTTTCTTTCTTTCTTCACCTTTTTTGGAGACAAGGTTTCTCGGTGTAATCCTGGCTGTCCCAGAACTCACTCTGTAGACCAGGCTGGCCTTGTACGCAGAGATCTGCCTGCCTCTGCTGATTGAAGGTGCTGAGATTAAAGGTGTGCGCCACCACCCAGCCCACCTGTACATTTCTTAAGAATAACCCGTATAGTATTTGGTGCCATAGAACCACTATTATTTCTAAGTTCATGCAGCTCTGTCCTATGACAGGCAATGAAACTGGGGCCCAGGGAGTTCAAGTGCTTCTTAAAACATGCTCAAGGACACATGGATTATTGGTGTTAGTAAGATTTTTTTGTTTGTTTGTTTTTTTGTAATTAGTCTTTTTTAATTTATTTATTAAAGATTTCTGTCTCTTCTCCACTGCCGCCTCCCCTTTCCCTCCCCCTCCCCCAATCAAGTCCCCCTCCCTCGTCAGTGTTTGTTTGTTTTTGAGACAGGGTTTCTCTGTGTAGCTTTGGAGCCTGTCCTGGAACTCGTTCTGTAGACCAGGCTGGTCTCCATCTCGCAGAGACCGGTCTGCTTCCTGAGTTCCGGGGTTAAAGGCGTGCACCACCACTGTCTAGCTAGTGTTAGTAAGATTTAAACCCAGGTCCGGACACTGTCCTCAGCCCAGTATCTGCACTGTATTTCTGTGCTGTCTCTTTTCAAAACCTCCACTCTATTTAAATTGCAAGTGTTGAATTTAGAAGACAAGTCAAATCTTCTTCCGATCAAAGCCAGTGATCTCGGAATTAAGCTCTGTCTTTGACGTCGAGTCCAGCTATGGCAACCTGTGGTCTGGTGACCTATGAACTTTTAGTCCTGGTTTTATAACCATGGAGTGACACTGGCTTGCACATTTCACATCTGCTGCTGCCCTTTGGCGTTCAATGGATAATCACTTCATTTAATTTTACAGGGTCTGATTATACACATTTCTCCTCCCATTTTGGTTCTCTTTGGCGATCCCAGCAGCTGTTACTTAGAAGCGGACAGCGCTGAGGGCTGCGCTTCCTCGTCCGGATCATTCTCAGACATTGTAAAGCAACGTGCCTCTATTGCCTCTGCTTCAGCTCCTGCCCCAGGTTCCTGCCTCCAGTTCCTGCCCTGGCTTCCCTCAGTGATGGGCTGGGACCATGTAAGATGAAATAAATGCCTTCCTCACCATGCTGTTTTTTTTTTCTCAGTGTTTCGTCACAGCGACAGAAAGGAAACCAGAGTAGTTCCTTGCAACAAAGCTTCTCACATGGAGAGGGTTAGAAGTCAATATTGAGTATATTCTAACCCGGGGAGGTGGCGAACGCCAATCGAGTTCCAATCACCCACCTCGGGCAGAGACGCCCCCTTTCGGGAGGAGACGGTTAGCACATAGTCTCAGGATGCTGCGAATGTCTACTGAGTACTCAGACCTAAAGAGAACGTTATGCCATTCCTCACACCACCCCGGCACAAGACTCGGGGAATACAGGAAGGAGACGGAGCAGGAAGGCCGCAGAGCTCTAGGGTGAGAACGAGTGCTGTGGAGTGCGGTCTCTGGGGCATGGTGTGGCTTTCTCAGTCGTGAAACACACCAGCTGCGGCCACCTGGACCCGATCGGGACCATCCACACCCCATCACGCCCGGAAGGTGTTCATGAGCAGCTGATGGCCAGAACTGGCTGCCAGGGAAGAAGGCGTCATTTCTCTTCAGGAATGTAGCTGCTACTAAAATGCCCAAGCTACAGGGAACAACTCCACATCCGTGCACATGGAAACTATCTTAGTTAAACGCCAAACTATAGGCAGAAGGCAGCGAAGGAGGGGGATTTGCTGAGAAGGGGGAGTTGGGAAGGAGTAAGCAGGAGATAAGAAGAGAAGGAAATGGGGTGAATATCAAAATACATCATATACACGTATAAAATTGTTCATTCTTTAAAAAAAGATCCAGGCTAGCTCTAGTACTTAGTAAGAACCTGTCTTGAAAATAATATTTATTCTCAATCATATTCTAACAATGGCTAAATTATTCTCTTACCCAGATCATTAACAAATTGTTTCCTGCTTAGCCCTAGTACAAACATTCATACCCTCTTTATCCAAGAAGTCCCTGTCTGTCCCTTTGTTTATGGAAGTCGGTGTCACATGCTCTGTCTTCTACAGCAAATTTTCCCTTTCTGCCACCCTCTCTCCCTTCTTCTCATGATTTATTCTTTCTATCATGATGCCAAGCATTATAGACAATTACAGAAGGACACACTTTCCTACCTCTCTCTCAAACTTCAGTGCTAGAGTTGCTATGTTTATGCAATGCCCTGGGCTTGTGCACGGATAAGTAAGGATTTTACACTGGCGATATTCAGGGGCTACTTCCCTGTCTCTTAGAAGCTCTCAGTGTTTATGAAGAACAGATTTTCATTACTGGAATTTTCTGCACATATGTCTAAATTTGTTATCCATACCAATTATGTAGAACTAATTATCCTTGTGATTACATGTGTTAAATTAAACAAGCAACACTTGGTCTGGATAGATGGCAAGTATTTAAAAACAAGTTCTGTTCTTGCAGAGGACCCAAATTCAGCTCCTAGCACCATGTTGGGCAGTTATACTGTAATTGGGATCTAGCGCCCTCTTTTGACCTGCCTGGGTCTCTGCATCCCTATGCACATACCCACATATGGGCACACACATGAGCATTAATTTAAAAATAGTAAAATAAATATTTAAATAGGCAATACCACTCCCATAAAGGACACTTATTTTGGAGAAAACTCACAAACCTTTGCACAACGCATTACTCAAAAGCTCTAACTATAATTATTGAAGAAGATGAACCACTGAAAATCCAGTTCGGAAATGTCAAGTGCATTCTGACTGAACACAGTGTTGATATCTTCCATATACTTCAAATGAAGAAGGTGGAGACTGAGTTGAGTTCTACCAGAATACAGCAGAAGTTACTAAGTAAAGTATAGCACAATAATCTGGGTGGTGGTGGTGCACACCTTTAATCCCAGCATTTGGGAGGCAGGGGCAGGCGAGTCTCTGAGTCCGAGGCCCACATGGACTACAGAATGAGTTCCAGGACAGCTAAGGATACACAGAGAAACCCTATCTTGAAAGACCAAAATAAATAAATGAATAAATAAACAAATAACCCTGTGGTAATAACTGTTATGCAAATCAAAGCTCCTTTCGTAGGGTGCAAAATGTCTAATTATGTTATTTGTGTTTTAGAAGTATGAGTTTTAAGAATGATTTATTAGTATGTATGCATACATCTTGTGAGCCGGTATGTGCGATGAGTATGGGTACCTGCGGAGTCAGGGGATGGCATCAAATACCCTGGAGTTGGAATTACAGATGCTTATGAACTGCCCAGTGTGAGTTCTGGGATCCAAACTCAGATCCACTGGCAGGGCAACAACAAGTGCTCTTGACTGTTGAGCCACTGTTTTGGACCCCAAATGAGACTTTATGAATTTGGTCTCATGGAAAAAATGAATCTCCTAGCAATGTAGATGTGTTCAATGCATGTAAGGAATGAGTGGTGTTTTGATGAGCATTTATTATCATAATTAGCATCACTCTTATTTCTCTACACACTACCAGGCAATGCCACTGAGAAAGGGGGGAAATGACTGGCTGTAGGAAGGAAAGAGGCACAATTTATCTTCCGTCTCTCTTAGAGGCAGCGACAGTCACAGGCGTATACGGATGAATGGGCCCTGAGAACCACCACAGTGAAGTGTGGGAACGGAGTCCACAGGGGAATATGGGATCAGGGGAAACCTTCGGCAGCTGACATTGTGCTATCTGCCTTCCTCATTTGTGTGCTTTCTGAGTCAGCATTAGCTAAATGTTCCAGAAAGCCATCCACAAAGTACAGCCTGGGCGTTCAAGGGATGTCACTCATTTCCTCTAGCGATTCTGACAAATCAGAAGCTTGAAAGCAGGGAAATCCTCAACATATTTCCAGAACTCTCCATCCAGCCTGGTGATTGAGCATCTGTCTCCCTTACTGCTGCTGACCAGCGGCCGTGCTTCTGAGGGGTCTGCACAATGCTCAAGCACTTTAGCCTGGTGTTGCTTCTTGCCTCTGCTTGGACCACGAGGCTCCCTGTCCAAGGTGCTGTCCTAGCACAAGGTAGGTGTCTTACCAGGTTTCTAAACGGAGGATAGACAAGGTCTGGGGAACTCTGCTCTTGACTGTGGGCTGTTGGGAATGGGGAGACTCTTGAGGTCACCAGAAGATTGGACGGGTCTTGTTGCTCAGCCAGAGATGTTTCTGCTGTGTTGTCAGCTATCAAAATGACTTAAATTCACCTTTACATCACTTGGAATTTTATTTTGGTTATGGGATTTTTTTTTCATAATAATAGTTTGAAATAAAAAAAATGAGAAGTCTTTTTGATTTCAAAGGGTTTATTTAAGAAGCAAGCCAGGGTTGTGAATATGTAAAGCGATGTCAAGCCTGAGGAGGAATGGGTAACTTATTAAATATCACCCACGTTATACTACTCTATGTAATTGCTTTAATCACAAGGTTATTCTGCTGCTAGTGGAATACAATGTTTTAATTTGCAGTAAATTCAATAGGCAGAAAATCAACTGAAAATACAGGTTTAAATTTCTACCCTCAGCAGCACTGAAGGGAGGGACTCTGTGGCGTCTGTGTTTGTGGGAAGCATATGAGGAAACCTCTTTCTGCACAGGAGAAACACTGAAACCACAGATCACGGATTACAGTCCTGGGCAAGTGAGGTAACAGGGCTGTTAAGGAGTAATCATTCTGCTGAAGATGCTGAGACAGGCGCTGTATCAGGAACAGACATTCGGGCTTGATTGATAGATTGCTGGAGACAGTTTTTTATGAGAGGTTAGAGCTGGATGCCCAGAACTGTCACATTTAAATAAATCTGGCCCTCTTAGAAATCCCCCCGGGGGACCATTCCCTTTCCCCCTCCTGGTCCTTTTAGAAATCCCACCCGGAGACCATTCCCATCCCCCCTGCAACGCTGCCGTCACACAAGTTATTTTCGAGTCTTTTTTTAAAAGATATTTTCTTATAGCCCAGGCTAGCCCCAAATTCACTATGTATCTGAGAATGAGTTTGAACCCCTGATTCTTTTTGCCTTCATCTTGTCTTGTGAACGTTGGGATTACAGGTGTGTACCACCATGCCCAGTCTTAGCAATGGCGGAGTGACCTGAAGGCACTACACACACTAGGCAAGCTCTCCCAACTAAGCCACATCTCTAGATTTAGAAAATCATTCTTTGATAATGACCCTACCTATGTGCTTCATCCTCAATAATGGCAATTTTTTTCCAAAGGAAGTTAAATACTTGGAAAGAACGGAAAGTTAGCTGTTTGCCAGCAGAAACTCCTACTGAACTCTGGTGATGTGGTGAGCACAGACAAAAACATCTTAAAGGATTTGTTAGAGATTCAGAATTGAGTGTATATGGAGTTCTTTTATGCCTCTCTCAATAAAACATTTTCTATATGAAATAAAAGGCTGGGTGGTGGTGACACATGCCTTTAATCCCAGCACTTGGAAGGCAGAAGCAGGCGGATCTCTGTGAGTTTGAGGCCAGCCTGGTCTATAAGATCTAGTTTCAGCACAGCTAGGGCTGTAAACAGAGAAACTCTGTCTCAGTCCTTCCCCCACAAAAGACATTAGTGAAGCCAAGGGATTTGTCTGATCCATGCATGTAGTAAATACTAACACTTGCCGTTGACTCCACCCTGTATGAGTCCCAAGAGGGTACTGTTCCTATAATCTGTGATGTTTTCTAAGCAGTCTTACAGAAAGCAGGATAGGAGTGGACCCTTAGATTCCAGCTTGGTGTTAGAGTTTCTAAATGAAACTGGAGAGCATGAACATTCTATAATCCATCACCTCCCATGGATCCGACCTCTGCTAGGTGTGCATTATCTAGTTTAATTCCGAACACAAGGCCTGACAGGGTAGAATTTCACAGATGAAAGCATTGACTTGTCCCCAAGATTCAAACAGCCAAGTAGCAGCCGGTGAAGCAAGGAGTTCTTTGCCCGGGCTTGGGAATTTGAAATGGACTTTCACAGATAAAACCCGACAGGGGTGTGTGTGTCTGACAAGAAAATTTCATGCTGTTTTAAGTAAGTTTCCAATTTGGGGCCATTAGGCTATCTCAGAATCATGAGGTCCTTGGGCTGAAGGCTGGACATCCCTTCCAGAGCCCTGAAGAGCCATTACTTAGAAGGCTAAAATGTCTTTTTTTTTTTTTAATGGGCCTCCAAAGATAAAACCCAACAGGAATAAGGAAGGCAATGGAATGCAATAAAACCTGGTAATTTTGTATAGGACTGCAAGTTCCATTGAAGTGGGGGGAAAAAGCCCCCCATATCCACTAGGTTTTGAGAAAAAAATTATTCTGAGAAGTTCCACTGCCTCAGCCTTTCCAGGAAGATCAGTCTGTGGTGGGTACACCAGTTGCTTAGAAGACCAAAGACAGGGCTGTTAGCTACAGTTATCTATTAGTTCCTGGTATGGCAGATGCTATGCCAAGTACTGTTAGAATTCATTCACATGACCACCTGTGCAGTCAATGATGTTACTCTGTTACTCTCTAAATTCCAAATAAGGAAATGAGCGCAAAAAGCTAGAATCACAATCATAAGGTCTCAGCACTACAGAGCTGCGTAGGAGATACCAAGCCCTGCTCCCACTCAAACTCAACTTTCTTTATTTAGTTCCCCTGCCCTGCAAGTTTTCCTGCCAACTCCTGCAGGAATTCCTGAGTAAGCCTGTCCTCCAATGGCCAGAAAGGACCTGAAATGGAGAACTCACATTCTTTCTAGCAAGCCCTGTCAAAACAGGAGCATCCCTGGCCACATTACTTTGGAGTCCTGGTAATGATTATTGTGTTAACCCAAGCTCTGAATTCTGTCTTCCTCAAAGTCTCAGAGCTTTCCTTAAGAGACTAAAAGACAATGTTTGAAGCAACTAAATCACCTAAACCCCACCCCAGGAACTGATTGATAGCTAAAGCCCTTGTGTGATTGGCAAGTTCCTTAGTGCGGAGTGAGCTCTTGGTCTGGAGATTTACAGCCGCCACCAGGCATAGCAAGCATCTAATCCAGAAGGTAGTTCTTGTGGGATGTTCCTGGCCTGTGGTGTTATTTCTAAATCCAGCCGCAACCTCACAGACCTGGGTCGAGACAATGATTCTCTGTGAGAAGGCAGAGTCAGAGAGCTGGGAACAAAGCCAGAGGCAAACTGAAGACTTTATGATTTCCTTCCAGAGCTTTCCATCTCTGCATGCAGATACATGGGGGTCGCCCTTGTGGGCAGAAAGGTAAACCCGCAGATGAATTTCACAGAAGCTAGGGAGACCTGTCAGGTGCTGGGACTGACGCTGGCCAGCAAGGCCCAGATGGAAGCAGCACAGAAGTCTGGCTTTGAGACTTGCAGGTAAGAGCTTCACTAAAGCCAGTGTTACTGCTCAACAGTAGACTTGCTGCCTTCTATCCTCCGGCCACTCAACCGATGTGTATTCTCCTACAGCTACGGGTGGGTTGGAGAACGGATCTCCGTGATTCCTCGGATTTTCCCAAACCCCAAGTGTGGGAAGAATGGGGTAGGTGTCCTGAGTTGGAAAGCTCCCCCCAACCAAAAGTTCAGAGCCTATTGTCACAACGCATCTGGTAAGTGGGACCCACAGCCACTTCGCGTGGCCCATCTTCTCTGGGTGTCTCTAAATCTGGGACCTGTGGGACGGACAACCCTGAGCAGCCACGGAAGCAGCCGGATAAATCATGGGTCCTCCAAATGTCCCAAGACCAGGCTGGGGGAAGCGATGTGCCCCTCAGAAGAGAATGTTAGAGAGGATTCGGCTGAGTGAGAGCAGAAGGACAGGGCGTGGCCAGAAGCTCAGGGTTGTCACCTCCACTTCCCGGGTTTCCTAAAAGATAAACAGGAAGTGGGAAGAAACAGATGTCTAGAAGTGTGTGATGCATCCCCTCAGACCGAGCAATTGAGGGGTTAGCTATCTCAAAGAACCTTGAATTTCCCGAGGAAGCCTTATCACCCTCAGTCTTCAAACAAGGAAATGTATCTATGGGGACGTTGGTCCGCTTGTCTAATGCTTCTGTACTGGACATTCCCCGTTTCTGTGATAAAAGAGCTGCACCTGAGCGGCTTATAAAGCAAGGGAGGTTAGCTCACAGTTCTGGAAAGTCAAGGTCATGGCACAGAAGCAACTTGACAATGGAGAGGACTTCATGTCATCACTAAGGCAGAGCATTGTGGGAGAAGAGTGCTCACGTGCTGAGACTGGGGGCCAGAGAGTGATTGGGGGGGTATAACGCACTCTCAGCTCCAGCCAGGGTCTCAGGAGAGCTCGCTGATTTCTTCAGTACCCCTTTACTACCTCCAGCTAGGCTCCATCCCTTAAAGATCCCACCACCTCTCAGCATTGCCACCCTGGATTCTAACACATAAACCCTGGGGGACACACTTGAGTCACATTCAAAGTCCAGTCTCAATGAAAGGGTTCAAACTTGGCTCTAACTCTGACACTGCATTCTTCCCCCTGTCCCACAGAACTCACACGCTGCACCTGACATCTTGAAAACAAGGCCCAATCTCGCTCTTTTGAAGGAAGAAGTTGAAACTTTGAGAGTAGAGCTCATGGTTTGCAGCCATCCTGACGGGCTTGCCCACAGACCTTGGTTGCCCTAACCAAATGGTTTTCCTAAGTCATTTCTCAGACCATTTTCTCAAAAAATACTTTGCTGTTCTCTGTGTCGTAAGAAGGCTGCTTGACTCATTACTCTTCACATGTGTGCAACTTTCTGAAGGTCAGATAGTGAATGATTGTATATACACAGACAGATGTCAATATTAATTTGTAAGATCAGAGAGAAAAGTAAAGCTCACCAGCCAACTTCAGCAAAATTGAATCCAGGAATCCCAAGCAGTTCTCTGAACAAAAGGACTTTGACATAAGAAGGGCTCTTAGAGACACCTGTCCTGGTCCCTGCCTTCACCAATAGTTCAGTGTGTGTGTGTGTGTGTGTGTGTGTGTGTGTGTGTGTGTGTTGGGGTGAGGGCTTAGACTTCCCGCAGACTCTCCTTCTGACATGATGGCTTGGCTCCATCCTTCTCTGTCCCCCCAGCCTGTCTTAGCCAGAGAACTAGTGGTCTGTGTGCCGGCTTATCTTACTGCCACCATTTCTGGGAGCTAGCCCTGCCTCCTAGCTGCTTCCCCACCTGCTGGCCACACAGTGCTATGATACCAATCCCTCCGACTAAACAGAGGAGAGGAAGGGGACTCAGATGTGCCTGTTTCCTCCTGCTTCCTTTACGTTGTCCTCTCAGCCCCTGTTACTTCCTACACCCTGAAAGGTCAAGAGGCTTCAATTGCTGGTGTAGGTGGTGTTGTGTAGCTGGGGTCACATGACAGCAAACAGCCAGTAGTGCCCAGTATTGATCGCTCCAACTTTGATTATTGGGGTAAAGCAGTGATTAGCAGATGGAAAATAAAATGAGGAGGCCCATTTTCTCCTTCGTAGTTAGTAGGTAATCTAGCAGATGGTATTTCAGCGCCATGCAGATATCCCCACTCCAAACCACCACTGTGGTCCTTGCTGAAAACGGTTATCACATAGCAGTCTACAGAGTAGGATTTTTCTAAGTCATTCCTCCTCTCCAAATCTATCAGCTAGCCCCTCCCACAACACACACATGCATGCATGTATACACACACTTTCTCCACCTTATACTACCACAGGCATGTGACACTTGATTTATTACAAGCGTATTACAGCAAGTTTTATGCTTATTGTTTAAGTCCTGTGCATATTCCAAACCTGGCATGTGGGAGTCCTGAGAGTCACTACAGCTTCCCAGCAGTAAACAGACCCAGGCTCACTTTGTATCCTCTCCGCTCCTGCGGGGAGAACAGCTCATTCCTCTGCGGCCCTCTGGCTCTTCTGAGTGCAAGATGCTAACGAGAACCGAGATCTGCATGAAAATTATGCTCATTACTAATGGTGTTTTTATTGAGTCTCAGCAAGGGTGGGGGGAGAGAAAGAGAGTTTCAACTCCAATTTAGTAATTTGCTTTTCTGACTTTGCCTTATCTACCTCCTCCTACACCCACTATCTCAGTTCTCAGCAGACAGCACATTTTTTTTCTGTGCTACAACATACAAAATAACAACGCCATTTATCTAAGGAGATAAATCTATTGAGTAAAACTGAGGATTTCTTCACCATCCCCTGGAAGAAAGTCCTGCTAGGACAGGTGATCAGGGAACTTCACACAGAAGTGACTGGACAAAACCCACCCTCGTTTGAAATGGAAGAGGTTTATTTGCTTCTGTTTGTGGTCTGTTATGGGGTACAGATTTTATTATTTAAAATTTCTCAAATACATACATCAACATGCTGCAATGGTCCAAAATAGTGAGGGATGTCTTCCTCCTAATCTTTTTGGCATATTTATGTCTGGTCTGTGCCCTTCTTTTGGGCATATAGAAAGGTCTGTGGGTTATTGTTTACTTTTCTCACAGAAAAGAAGCTGGAATACCACACACTGCTCTGTGAATGACTTTTTCCACTTACAGCCTGGAAATTAGCTGGACTGTCTCATCAGAGAGTCTGATTTTTAATGGTTGTGTTTTTAATGTACTCCAGTGGCTGTTTGTATAGTGACTTATTCAGCCCATCTTCTATTGGGGAACTTTTTAAGTTTTAGGAACTAGACATTTCTAGATTCTCCTATTCTGCACAATTTGCGAGACCCCTCTCCAGCCCCTGGAGGTCCTCTCTCATTCTGCATCTGGCCCCTTCCCTACCTCATCCATTTGGTAATTGTTACTCTTCTGTTTGCCCTACAGTCTTAGGTGACTTCCTGTATAATGTAGTATGTAGCATGTGATGTCTTTTGCATATAAAAGTAGATACATATGAAAACTCTTGAATATGGTTAAAAAGGGTTGTGGACCCCTGTAAAAATGTCCTTTCCTGCAGAGTAAATCCCAAGCCCTTTAACAGGGTAACCCTGGCCAGATCTATCTCTCCAGCCCTGCCTCCTGTTTGCAGGCTTTTCCCTCCCTGGCACACTCACGCCATCTCTGGGGCCACACGATGCTCCTTGTCATTCTCCTGACCCGACTACTCTTGGATCACGCACGTCCTGCTGACCAGGACATCCTGTTCTCTCCCTGTAGAAGAGTTCTGCTCTACTTCAGCCACACTGGCCTTCTTGTTCACTGAGCGGGTTCGGCGCAGTCATGTTCTCACTCTGGGATTTTTTGTTTCCTTCCTGTGTCTGTCCTAGATCTCAAGCAACTGGCTACTTTGAGCCGCTGGGTCTCAGGTTAAGTACTGTCGTCCCGCGAGACTTCCTTCATCTCCACCTTTGCCAGTTTAACCCACACCCTGTTTCTTTTCACTGTTTATAGTCTCCTGAAATTCATGGGTTATTTATCCTTTCTTATCTCCATTCTTCCAATGGATCAGAAGCTTTTTAAGAGCAGGCACCTGCCATGGAGATGGTGCCCATAAGTAGCTGTGGAATGGACGCCATTAGACCTCCACACTCCACCCAAGTTCCTCTGGGCAGAAGCAGGAACTGTACTTTATGTGTCCCTGTGGTTTAGAAGCCAACAGTGTCTATTGTTTCTGGGTTTTCTACTCTCGCTTTAACAAAAATGTCCATTTTCTGAGGGACGAGCCTAGGAAAGAGAGGGAAGCGCAAGGCAACGAAGCCAGCAATGATACCTATTTGAGCAGAGCTGTTTGCAAAGCGCCACGAATAGGAAACAATAGCGACTTGATGCGTGTGTAGTACTCATGACCTCGACTAGCGACGCATTCCATTCTCAAAATCAAATCAACTTACTGAAACAATTTCTTGCATAGCTGCAGTTCTGGCTAGTGGCACCCAGGGCTATAAATAACCAGGGTTTAAAACAGATGTCCATTTGTGTTGTAAGATACTGTGCAGCCCTGCCGCTTCCGAACTGATTGAGGAAGTAAATTTGATGTCTATGAACTTCAGCATCTTCCTGTGTACATGAAGGCTTGATAAAGGCTACCCGAGATAGCTAAACATCTGATCCATGGCGGACCCAGAATTAGAAGACAGACAGATGTGTTTCCTCGAAACTCTACAGAGTTGGGAAACACCAGTCTCCTCCTCCTCCTCCTCCTCCTCCTCCTCCTCCTCCTCCTCCTCCTCCTCCTCCTCC